CCATACACAGCACTATTGCAAGAGATGCCAAGGCTGTGGATGTCCAAGCATGGCTGAGGCTGGGCAAATAACATCCTGTGGGCCTGCACTGCCCTTCCCCAAATGTCGAAATGACTGGGTTTAACTCAGTGCAAAGTTATTTTTAAGAGTTATTAGAGTCATAGTAATAATTTCTTGCTAGAATAGATTTTTTTCTAGACCAACTAATACTAAATACAAACAAAATTATTGTCAACATGGAGCTGCAAAACTGAGATAACATAGCACCTGCCTTGCTGAATTGTCACATGACTGAATGCTTACAGGTGCTTAGAATGGTCCTTGGAAGATGGTAAATGTTCAGCAAATCTCAATCATTATTAGAAAGTGATCCTCAGCTTTGAAATGAGTGATCTCAAAGGATCACTCATTGAGATTATCTCTAAAACCATCCTTTGTGTCTCTGGGTTTTAATGACTTGTATTTTCTGGAAAACTCATGAAGGGAAAAGAAATTCTTTGGGCTCTGCGAATCCTGCAGTTTCTAATACAGTAAATGACTAAACCTGTAAGTCGTCCTCAGCTTGGATAAAAGGCATCCGACCCAGTCTTTTTAATTGACTGACTGGCCAGGAGAGGCAGCGCTCAGACGCCTCAGGCACTAGGTTATAATGGCCACCTGCCTTCTTCAGCCAGGACTAAACTAATCCTGGGAGACTCAGCTTGGAGGCCAGACAGCCCCGCGGCAATCACCAGAGTAGCCACAGGGTGGCACTGTGACCCAAAGTTTCACAGAAGGGCCCGCCTCTGGGAGCAAAACCTCGGTTCCTTTTTTCATGTTTCCTTTTCCAATATTTCTCAAACCTCACAGCTCATGCAAATCAGCTAGGATCTTGCTAAAAAGCAAATTCTAACTCGGTCGGTCTGGGATGGAGCCTAAAATTCTGAATTTCTTCAATCTCTCAGAAGATGCTGGTGCTGTAGCACGGGAGAATTTTCACAAAGCCTCATATCTGACCCGGGCAGAAGTACGAATTAAGTAGACCTTCCAGCACAGCCCTGTTCTGGGCCTTTCAGAGGTTGTGAGGAGAAGCTTCGAAGAAAGAAAATGAGAAACAACAAAAGAATAGGTCCCCCGAGTCCCTTCAACTCGCCCTCTGAAGAGTGACAGCAAGGATAGGTCAAGGTGAGCCACTGTCAGAGTGGACCTGTTCTTTCTCTGACACAAAGACTCTTTAAATAGAGAATTTAAGGAATTTACAAAACACTAAGCTGCAAATGCTTCAGCAAACACACCATAGCTGCCCCCAAAAGCCACATCAGGGGTTCTGGTAGTTTTCATATGTATGCCTTAGAAAGAGCCAACCTGGGCCTTCCTGGTGGTGCAGGGGTTAAGTCAGCCCTATCAACTTAGCACCAGCCACTGCAGCATGAGTTCGATCCCCGGCCAGGAAGTTACCCACATGGCACAGCAGACCCGTCCTGACTCACCTGCTGCTCCCCTCGGCAGTGTATTTCACTCAATTCCCGTGAATCCTCTCATATCTACCCCCCACCCCACCCCAACACACACACCTCTGGCCTATATTCCAGTTCTTGTATGCATAAATAAATGAAATAAATCTTAAAAGGAAAGAAAAAAAGCGCCAACCTAAGAATTGAAGAAGTGGACTAAGAGGAAGGAGCACTTTTCTGATGGCGTTACTCTTGCATGCACAATGAGATCTAATTTAATATCTTGAACTTCTGCTTTCCACCTCTGAAAAGGCCGTGGGGAGCAACTAGCCAAGTGAAGCCACTCCTCACTCCGGCTCTTGACTTCTGTGGGGCCCTGGCTTTAAGGTTAGAGACAAACTGCAAAATAAGAACTTGCACTATAGCTGGGGCCCCTGTGCTTCCTTTTCTCTTGGTACATTTTTTTCAAGGGGGTTCCTTTTTAATACCTTCATATATCATTTTGTCCTTTTTATTCTTGGGCTCAATGCTGAGTTTTAAGACAGATTATTCAAAAATTAAAAACAAAATTGTACCTATTCAGTTTTGGGCCAGTATGTCAGCTCAGTTTAAAGTTTACCCAGCTTCCCTCCTGTAAACACTAAGGAAGATGCTGGCTCTAAGCTTTTTCTAAGGTCCTTACGTGGAGTTCATTTCTCACCCCCATCCACCCTGCCACCTTCTTCCTCTCCTGGCCTCCTTAAGGGACAAAGCTCACCATCCAATTTGCATAAAATATGTAGCATGTAGGATGTCCAGAAGCTTCACTGCTAGGGTAATATTCATGCCCCTCTACTTATATGCATTAATTGATATGCATAGGGAGGAGGGGAGAGGAGTATTGGGAGATTGGAAAGGAGAGGTAGGAAGGCACAATGAAAATGTTGAGGTGTTTCATACACCCTGTTCCCATGGACTATTTTTCCAGCTCTCATGAAAGAGAGGAGTGAGTGCTGATACATGGGTTTAGGACAGGCGAATGGAGACACAGTGAGGCTGGGTCCCTGCATTGCAGCTTTGGGTTCCTGAGAGGTCAGCCAGTTCCCAGGGGACAGAAGTTGAAAAAAACTTCTATTTGGTTTGTAAAATCAAATAGTTGAACTATATGGGTTAGGTTTTCCCCTAACTCTTGCATAACACATAGTTCAACTATTTGATTTTACAAACCATATGTTTGGCTTAGGAAGCTGATTTTCTGAACTTTTTAAAGATTAAAATGTTTTGGAATTTTATATCAAATGTGCCATATACATTGGAAAGGTGAAGAAATAGGATATACCTTTATGTTTTTTGAATTTTATGAATTCTGGAACATTAATGTATCAAAACATAAACTAGAAAGGGAAACAGCAAAGGAACAGATTTCAGTTTTATCTAACTGACTAATTATTCACAGTTTCATCCTCATAAATGTATTATCAAGCATCAAAAGATTAAGTGATTTTCTTCATTTTTACCATTCAGAAAAATAGTCCAGAAAGAACCCACATGAATATTTAGCAATGTTTTTTAATGAACAGAAATGTTTATTTTTTGTTATAATAGTTATAGAAACATTTCATCAGCTAATTACATTGGTTATACATATTCATGGTGTGTTTTTATTGAAATGAATCTGCAGGATTTTCCTATTTCCTCAGCATCTCTTCAACTATGCAGATTCATGAGATTGTGTATATAGCCATAGTCACCATAGTCACTTTTTATTTTTAAAAATTGACTTACAGGTTTCAATAGTTAAAACTATGGTCTATTTGTGCATATCCAATTGAATAATAATTTCTGGCTTTATTTTTGAAGGTTTATCTGTTTTTCAACAGTTGTTTAATATGACATAAGGTTTTAAATTTTTAGTTATTTTTAAAATTAACTCAAAGCAAGGAGAGGAAGACTGGAATGCTGAGTCACTGACACCCTGTTTTCAAGAGATATTGAAGGCACCGCTCTGTGGAACTCAGCATGGCTCCTCATCTCAAAGATAAATGGAGTTGGATGATTGCGGGAAAGCACACTTACATGGACAGTAGCATCATCTAGAAGGTGCCTACATTCAACTATGTGAATAGGGCCCGGCTCTTTCAAGGACCTGAAAGGACCCAGGTCCAACCACCTGAGATCACTAGAGTGCAAGAGATGGTGTGCAAGCTCCTTGGAGCTCGCAGAAATGCTCATGGGGAGGGACTTTGCAGGAGGCCAGAAGTCCTGCTGAAGAACAAAGGGGCAAGGATAAGAATTTGGGGTCAGTGAAGTTCATGTGCCATCTCTGTAGCCACCAAGGGCTTGGCAGCTTGGCTTACATGCTCAATGATGAGAATTGCTTTTAAAGAACAAGACAAACCCTCCAAGAATAAGATCTAATAGAAACAAGCATTTCCAGGGTGACTGTCACTACATAGGAAACATATAGTTACCAAGCTCTAGGCATAGCAGGGTAACATGAAAGCAAGTCTACAATCAGACTGCCTTGGATTTCTGTGGTTTATTAGTAAAAAAACCCTTAGTTTTTCTTACCTTGAATGCTTTATCTATTAAATAAAAATCCAGTGACTATGCCTGAGGAAGGAAATCCTATGCTTCCACAATACTCACAAGGATGTAAACCAATGTTACTTCAATTAAAAAAAAAAATCTGCACTTCAATCCTGAAACCAGTTGAGTCCCTACTAAGTTCCTCTAGCTAACCCAATAGCCATCTCATAAACATTCATTGAGCAGCTTCTCTGATCCAGGACCTGATCCTACTACTGCCAGTTCAAGCTGGGAGAGAAACCTGCCATAGTTTTTGAGGAGCTCATAGTCTAGTGAAAAAGGGAAGCTTTAAAAACATGCATAATCAGTTCAGTTATAGAAATATGCCCACAGTGTTATAAAGAATCAATAAGTATCACGCCTGGGGAGTGAAGTGAGGAAGGTTTCAAACTTCTTTGAAAGTTGACACTTGGAATGTGTCTTGAAGGATTTCTAAGACTTCCTGACTGAACCAAGGTGAGAGAGATATAACAGGCAGGTATGATGCAAAATGTTAGGGTCTAGGGGCATGAAAGAAAAGGGAATATAGTAATAGGAAAGGATGAATAACTTCATAAGTCTCAATAAGATGCAAGGAAGTGGGAGAAAATTGGTGTCAGATCTTAAGGGAACAGCACATTTTCTTTTTTTATAATGTGGGTGAGTTCCAAAAATTTTCCTAATCAGAAAAGTAACTTGATGTTTCTTTTTGAAATATAATTTGGCAAAATTCAGGCGAGCTTGTTTTCTATGACCAGTGAGACTAGAAGGAAAGAATCAAGTAATTAGTAGGATGCATAAGATTTAAATATTTTATTTAAAGTTTTTTTTCTACTTATAAAAGAAGAAGATTCATTCTAAGCAACTCCACCATTGTAAAAATATGCAACATAAAAATCAAATGTTCCCTGTAATGCGAGCTCCTAGACCCAAACCACCGTTACTGCAACCCATATCCTGGAATAGATTCCTTCAGACTTTTTTTTCAATGCATAAACCAACATATTAATATTGCTTCTTCATACCAATAAATATATAGCTACCTCATTCTTTTTAATGGCTGTGTAATATTCTATTATAGAAATGTACTGTAATTTATTGAATTGATCCTTATTTGTGGACATTTGAGCTGTTTTTTCATAATCATAATAATCGGATGAGCACATTTTTATATAAGCCTTTGTAAATTTGTGTTTCTGTGGGATAGATACATTCTTAGAAAACCATCAAGGAACTGACATGATGATGGAACTTGTTTTTTTTTTATTTTAATAGATATTGCCTAATTGCCATCATAAGTTGTATCATCCCATAGTATAGGCAGCCCCCAGTTCCTCTAAGGAAGGGAAGGTTTTATAGGCAGTCTGTTCTTATCAGAGACATTGCAGAACCTCGAGATTCTTCATTCAGCTCTGTGAATGTTTGTAGCTCACACATCTCTCTGGTTTCTAACAAATTAACTTTAAAGGCAGCTCGAAGGTATGCCCAAAAAAGTCCATATTTACGCCTATCCTTGGGCCATTCCAAGCATGCTTTCTTTTCCATGAGAGCTTTCAGCATAGGATACCTGGGAGGAACACAGTAGAGTGGAATGGGTTCCAGTAAGATAAGAATTATGTCATCAGAACTTTCATGGAAGAGATTGTGATGTGCAAAGCATTGTTCATAATGGCACCACTCACTCTGAACAAAGTTGGGAGATAAAACAAAGATGGATTTGTAGCTTTTCTTGATGCAGTTTATGATATTATCAGCAATGCTCTTGTCAGGGTCAAAGTTTCCCTCATGAAGGCAAATCAAGACAGAACCATTTTCTTTCTCTAGATTAGGGATCAATTCATGCTTTACCCAGGCAGAATCATGTTCACTGTATGAGATAAACACATGGAATTGAGCATTTCTCTTGAGTTGTCCTTGAGTTGTCTTCCTAATCCTGTGCCATATCTGTGTCCATTGACATAACATCCTGAGATACCAAAGCAGATCTAAGTGGAAGCAGCAGCAGATCACAGCTATCCCCAGAACTAGCATGATAACCACGATGGTGATGATCAACAGAGCTGTGTTGCAGGATAATTCAGGAAGGTAAACATCCTTTAACTGAGTCCCCTTTAGATTCAAAGGATATTCACATATGTATGAATCTGACCATCCAACCAACATGACCTCTGAGTATTTTTCAATGAAAGCTCTTAACTCACAAGTACACCAGAATGGATTTCTTCCTACATTTAAAGTCTTAACTTCTTGACAGCTCTGAAAAAAGTCCAGAGATGGACTAAGAATTAAATTCATTTCAACGTTTAGTATTGAGAGTCTTCTGAAATGACTGCATCCAGGAAGATCAGTTAGAAAATTAAATGCAAGATTTAGTTCCCTCAAAGACTTCAGATGAATAATCTCTTTAGGGACAGTATGAATTTTGTTATTATTCAGGTCAAGTGTCTGAATACTTCTAGGCAAGCACTTGAAGACAGAGTCAGAAAATTTATTGGATGACAGGTTCATGTTGATCAAGGTTTCTGGCCACAAGCAATTCTCATCATTTTCATGTTGTAACAGATTTTGACTAACATCTAGATGCTTCAAGGATGTATTATTAGCAAAGCAACTAACCAAAGAAAATGTCTCCAACTTATTGCCTTTCAAAATGAGAGTTTTCAAATAAGGCAATTGGATAGGCTTTTTAAATAGGTCATCTGTTAAGATATTATCAGCAAAATTTAAATATTGGAATCTTGTAGGATAAGTAGGAAACAGCATGTGTGGCATTTGTGCATCTGATATTGTCAGATTTTCTATATTCATTTTGGTAAAAAACAAGTAGACTCTGTCTTGTGGAATATGAAAAATCCTGAAATGTACCTTCTCCAATTTTACAGTTCTCATTACAGAATGTGAATAGTCAAATGAATTGTGGTCAACATAAACCTTACCTCCAAAAGTCACATTTTGGATCTGGAAATATTCCACTGACGTATGCCAAACAAATTGGAAGATGAGGAAAAGGTCCTCCCAGAGTAAATCAATTTTATTAAGTAACAGGACAGTTGTCTTGGTACTCTCTAAAATATTTTGTTTAGTTTCATAACTTGCAAGTTGGCTTTTGGTATCTATATTTGTCATTTCTAATATTTTTGAGGTTTTCATTCCATCACACAAAAGAACCCAGAAATTTGTGTTTATTGGTAAAACAATGTGAAGTTTTGTTGTATTTAAGATGGGCAGGCTACCCTCTTCATAATGAGCAAGAGTTTTCAATCCTAAGAAGACAGTGTTTAGATGCAAATGAGCAATTTTCTGGAAATCTGATTTTTGTATTTTTGTCCCACTCAAACCTAAGGTCTCCAGGTGTGACATGTTGCCAGTCTGTTCACAGATAGGTATGGTGTCAAAGTCATTGAAAGAAAGATCTAGATGTCTCAGACTTGTCAATGAATGCCAAGTCACAGTCTTTAGTTTGTTGTAAGATAAATCTAAATATAGTAACTCCTTGTTAAATTCAAAGATCTTGGTATCCAGCTGTTGGATTCTATTATGGCAGAGAATCAAAACTTTCAGTTTAGACAAAGAATGAAAATCTGAACTCTGAAGTTGAGAAAGGAGGTTGTAGGATAAATCCAGTGTTGTTGTGGTTGAGATCAAGTCTGCAGGAACCTTTCTTAGAGACATATTGGTGCAACTGGTAGTCAGTTCCCTTTCTTCTGGCACCTTTGGAGCCCAGCCATACACTGACATAATGATGCTACACAGCACACAAATGTTTCTGATAGGACTCATTGTAATTCCAAGGACTTTATCACTTGTTGACATATGAATGATAAAGATGAGTCAAAATCCTAGAAAGAGAGCATATAATGTTAAATGGTTATTTGGTTTGTTAAATCTCATAGCCTTTTTTAAAAATGCCTACATACAGCAATTTGGTAGGATCCCAACTTGTATGCTGAGTCTTTGACTTGAACTCAGAGCATGGCTAATTGATTTCCAAGCTATTAAGCCCTGTCCCTATCTCTAAGGCAAGTCAGGATTCCCAGCAGCAAGTGCCTCTCTCTCAGTCTACTTGCCAGGCCATACTCAACATCATCCCTCATACCCCCTATCGATAAGCTGAAAGCTTTAAGAAAATTAAAAGTAATTTTTTATTAAGATTTTTCAGAGTAGATTAAGGTTCACAGAATTGAGAATACTTCTCCTACCCTCGTGCCTGTATAGCCTCGTCCACTATTAATATCCTTCACTGGACTGGCACACTTGTTACAGTTGATGGGCTTACAATGACATGTCATCCTAATGATGACATAGTTTACATTGGACTTTATTCTTGGTGTTGTATATTCTTTGCGTTTGGACAAATATATAATGACATGTATCCATAACTATGCATAGCTATGGTGATACAGAGTGTTTTCACTGCCCTATAAATCCTCTGTGCTCTGCCTAGTCAGACTTTCCCCCTCGCAACCCCTGGCCACCACTGATCTTTTTAATATCTCCATAGTCTGACCTTTTCTAGAATGCCATATAGTTGGAATTACACAGTAGGCATCTTTTTCAGATTAATTTCTTTCACTAATATGCATTTAAGTTTCCTCTGTGTCTTCTCGTGGTTTAATATCCCATTACTTTTTAGCATTGAGCATTCCATTGTCTGAAGAGTACTTCAGTTTATTTGTTCATTACCTATTGAAGGATATCTTGGTTGTTTCCAAGGTTTGGCAATAATGAATAAAGCTGCAATAAACATCATGTTCAGTTTTTGTATGAACATAGTTTTCTTTTTTTAATAATTTATTTTTTATTTATATCTTTTACATCATTGTGTATTCTCTGTAAAATTCCACCACCAGTTCACCAGTGAGCCATCACCATAGTCCCCTGTGCCCTTCGCTCACCTGTTTTGATCCTTTTTCTTCCCCATCCCTTTCAGAATGTCTCTTATTTATGGTTCCCTGCTAGTTTCGGTTTATTATTATTATTGTTGTTGTTGTTGTTGTTGTTATTTTTTCCTGATACCTTATTTGGTTCCCCTATATTCCTCCTATAAGTAAAACCATTCAGTATCTTTCTTTTTCCTTCTGGCTTATATCACTGAGCATGATCCCTTCAAGCTCCAGGACATAGTTTTCAATGAAAGTAAATTTTAATTACTAAATACTATAGGTCCCTGAATTAACATCATTTAGTTGTTCCTCAACTTTTTCAGTTGTGAACACAGGGACTCCGTTGAGTTAAAATCAACTTTCTACTTTTACCGCATACATGAAAGATCCAAAACTCAGAAAGAAACAGAATAGATCCTGTCTTTATGTCTCCACGTGACTCCGGCTCGGTGGCAAAATAAATCTGGATTGCTGCCAAATAATAATGATAATGATGAAAAGTTTCCATTTCTTAGGGGTTTTCTATGTTACCAACCTTTTCTATGTTCACTCAGCCCAACAACAAAACCTCATCTGAAACTTACTTTAAAGAAGGGAGGGGGAACTCACTCTTTTTGAACTTCTCTAAATACAATAAAATAAAAAGTTCCTATTTCTCAGATGATGCTTGAACATTTTGACATTTCATTAAAACATTTAAAAAGTAGAACATACCTATCTTTCACAAACTCTTCCAAAAAATTGAGAAGGAAGGGACAATACCAAACACGTTCTATGAAGCCAACATTACACTAATACCAAAACCGAACAAGGACAACACAAAAAAGGAAAACTACAGGCCAATCTCCCTAATGAACACTGATGCAAAAATCCCCAATAAAATTTTAGCTATCAGAATCCAACAATGTATCCATAAGATAATTCACCACGACCAAGTAGGATTCATTCCAGGGACACAAGGATGGTTCAACATCCGAAAATCAATCAACGTTATCCAACACAGCAACAAAAAGAAATATAAAAACCATATGATAATATCAATAGATGCTGAGAAAGCTTTCGACAAAGTGCAACATCCATTCATGATAAAAGCCCTTGAAATTCTTGGGATACAAGGAACATACCTCAACATCATAAAGACCATATATGACAAGCCAACAGCCAGTATCATTCTCAATGGTGAAAAGCTGAAAGCAATTCCATTAAGATCTGGAACAAGACAAGGATGTCCACTCTCACCACTGCTTTTCAATATAATACTGGAAGTCCTAGCCAGAGCAATAAGATAAGAGAAAGACATACAAGGAATCCAAATAGGAAAAGAAGAAGTCAAACTATCACTATTTGCAGATGATATGATAATATACATAGAGAACCCCAAAAACTCCACAGAAAAACTAATTCAATTCATCCATCAGTTCAGCAAAGTGGCAGGATACAAAATCAACACGCAAAATTCAGTAGCCTTCCTACACACAAACAATAAATCTGAAGAAGAAGAAATTAAAAAAACCATCCCTCTTATTATCGAAACAAAAAAAATCAAATATTTGGGAATAAATCTAACAAAAGAGGTAAAGGATCTATACAAAGAAAACTATAAAACACTGTTAAAAGAAATAGAAGAAGACACAAAGAAATGGAAAGACATCTCCTGCTCATGGATTGGAAGAATAAACAATATTAAAATGGCCATCCTACCAAAAGCAATATACAGATTCAATGCTATTCCAATCAAAATTTCAATGTCATTCTTCAAAGAAATAGAATAATTATTGATGAAATTCATATGGAATCACAAAAAAACCCGAATAGCCAAAGCTCTCCTGAAAAAAAAAGAAGGGAATGGAGGCATCACACTCCCAGACTTCAAACTCTACTATAAAGCCATAATCATCAAAACTGCATGGTATTGGAACAAGAACAGACATACAGACCAATGGAATCGAATAGAAAATCCAGAAATAAACCCACAGATTTATGGTCAACTAATCTTTGACAAAGGAGCAAAGACTATGCAATGGAGCAAAGAAAGTTTGTTCAATAAATGGTGCTGGGAAAACTGGGTCGCTACATGCAAAAGAATGAAGCTTGACCACTACCTCACACCATACACAAAAATCAACTCAAAATGGATTAAAGAACTAGACATAAGACCTGAAACCATAAAATACATAGAAGGAAATATAGGCGAAACACTACGTGATATGCTCATCAAAGACATCTTTACAGGTACATCACCCAAAGCAGTGATAGTGAAGGCAAAGATAAACAGCTGGGACTACATCAAATTAAAGAGCTTCTGCACAGCAAAAGAGACAATAACAAAAACAAAGAGAAACCCCACCAACTGGGAGAACATTTTTGCACACAACACTAATGATAAAGGACTGATCACACAAATCTGCAAAGAGCTGATGAGACTCAACAAAAACAAAGAAAATAATCCAGTCAAAAAATGGGCAGAAGAGCTAAAAAGAAACTTCTCTGAAGAGGAAATGCAAATGGCCAACAGGCATATGAAAAAATGTTCAACATTACTTGTCATCAGGGAAATGCAAATCAAAACTACCATGAGATACCATCTTACACCAGTGAGAATGGCACATATTAAGAAAACTAGCAACAACAAATGTTGGCGAGGTTGTGGAGAAAAAGGAACTCTCCTGCACTGCTGGTGGGAGTGCAAACTGGTCCAACCACTATGGAGAGCTGTGTGGAGATTTCTGAACCTACTAAACATAGAGCTTCCATATGATCCAGCAATTCCACTCCTAGGTATTTACCCAAAGGACACAGAAACATCCATTCCAAAGAACACCTGCACCCCTATGTTTATAGCAGCACTATTTACAATAGCTAAGCTTTGGAAACAACCCAAATGCCCAAAAATAGATGACTGGATCAAGAAGATGTGGTACATATATACCATGGAATATTACTCAGCATTCAAAAAAGATAAACACATGCCATTTGCAGCAACATGGATGGCGCTGGAAGGGATCATGCTCAGCGAAATAAGCCAGAAAGAAAAAGAAAAATACCGGATGGTCTCACTCATAGCAGGAATCTAGAAAACTTAAATAAGGGACCAGGAAAATGAATAACTATAAGAAAGTGAAAATCAAAATCAACAAACAGCTATGAACCAGAGACACTTTTTGGGGGGTGAGTGGTGGGAGGGGAGGGATTGGGGTCAAAATGGGGGGGTTGCAATTGTATGGGGAATATAAAAATAAAATTTATTATTAAAAAAAAGAAGTTTGGTGGCAAAAGGAAAAAAAAATAAAAAGTAGAACATAAACTTGACGAAAGATGCACTCAGTATCATATATTATTATCACATTCCTACCATTATTACCGTTCTGCTGAAAGCAGGTGAGAAACAGAGAATGACTTTCCTTAATAGCTTATGATTTAAAAGTTCAAATCAAAAGATACCATTGAATTAATATTGGCAGTTTTCCAAAGAATACACAATCATCTAACTTCCCTTTCCTGATGATGAAAAGAATGGAGAAGGCATTAAAAGTGCATTGAATGTTGAAAGTTCTTTACTATATAAGAGTAAAAAGGACTGGTTTTTTGAGTGTTTGTGTGTTTGGTATAGAACTAAATGCTTTCCATACATTACTTGTTCGTTCCTTTAACAATCCTTCAAAATAGTGCCTATTTTTATCCCTATTTTATAATTGTGGAAGGTAAAACCCAGTGATTAAGTGACTTGCTTAGGTGACCCAGTGAATAAGTGACAGAGCATGGATTTGAACCCACAACTATCTGGACCTTCAAACTCCTCAGTGAAGCAGCTTAAGATGTGATTGCCAAGGTTGATTCCATTGGCAGGACTAGCTGTCATGGTGGCCTCTTTCTCCCTTTCTACCCCGTGTGCCTCTCTCTGTGTAACATGCAGCTCCTAGGGGTCCTGGCTAGATGTCACAAATTCTAACTCAAATCCACGCATTATTAAGAGAAGTTAAAATTCACAAGAATAGAAATGAAACTCCAAGTGCACACAGCTCTAATTAATTGCTTGGTGTAGGCAATCTGTGAGAAAGCTCTTCTAGGAATTAGAAGCCTAGATGCTATTAATCATTTTCTATTCTCTAGTAGCCACGTGGCCATCCACATTTGGCCATTTTGGACTCCACAGGAAACTGAGAAATAACTGTTTTGTACAAAATCCATCAGACATTCCTCTACTTTGAGACATACAACACAAAAACAGAACTTTTAAAGAGAATAAAGGTAGCAAATAAGCTACTTTTAAATAAAGCAACAATAAGCTTTAAATAGCCTCACCTAGCAAGCATTGTTAATGTGCATTACCAGGAAACCAGTCCTGTAGAAAACCTGCAACAATGCCTGTGGCATCGCCTGACTGACCAGGTACTGACCAGGCTCAATCAGCGACCCTTAAAATGAAACCCAAGCCTTCAAGTACAGATGAGACATTTCCTAAGATCAAGGACTGCAAGGTAACTCACTAACCACTGATCTTTACATGAACATAGACAAAATAATCAACACTGAAAGTTTGAATAAATCTATTTTTCTCCCATCTACTTGATTTCAAACTATCATTTTAGAAAAGACCCTTATTACATTTTTTTGTGAGCATTACAACAAACAAAGCTAACAGTTCTTACCCCAGGCTAAGAGGGGTCCGGGGGGAGCTGCTGGTGTGGATGAGTCATAGACAGAAACAGAACTGCCTGTGGGAGAATATTGAATCTAGCTTTTCTGTGAAGCATTAGCCCCTGTGCCCTCTACTGCAGGGCGATGGCATTGCACGTTGCATACCTTCATTATAAATTCAGAGCACTTTTTAAAATTTTGCAATAAACTAGACATAAAATTTACCATTTTAAAGTATACAATCCCGTGCCATTAAGCCTATTCATGTTGTTGCACAACTGTCACCACTGTCTAGCCCCAGGACTTTTTCATCCTCGCAAACTGAAACTCTGTACCCATTAAGAGCTCTCCAACCCCCTTCCCTCAGCCCTGATGTGCACTATTCTACTTTCTACCTCTATAAATTTGACAACTCTACTGCCTCATAGAAGTGGGTACAGTATTTGTCCTTTTGTGACTGCCTTCATTTAGTGTAATGTTTTCAAGATTCTTCCATGTTGTATGTATCAGAATGTCTTTCTTTTCAAGGCAGAATAATATTTCATTGTATGTATAGACCACATTTTGTTTATTCCTTTATCCATCAATGTACATTGGGTTGTATGCACCTTTGGGCTATTGTGACTAATGCTGTTATGCAGATGGGTGAGCAAATACCTGTTTAAGCCCCTGATTTCAAATCTTTTGGATATCTACCTATGAGTGGAATTGCTGGAGCTCATGGCATTCTGTATTTAATTTTTTCCAGAACAGCCATACCATTTCCCACAGCATCTCAAGCATTTTGGTGGTGCCTTACATCAAAGTTCAAATCAATTTTCCTGCCATGATATTGGGTGGGGCGGCCAGGTGAGGAGGAGGAATAGGGAGGTAGTGGCTCCTTACTTTCACAATCTAACTGGAAGAGTATGGGAAGGAATTAACTGGAGGCTTTATCTTGAAGTGATCAAACAAGCATGGTATTTTTTATATAGATTGCACGATACAGATCAGTTCTTTCAAAGCAATACTTTTGGAGGTTCTCTTTATGCCTGACTTAAATGCTAGAGGTGATAATTCCCAGATGAATTCATCCATGCTAATAGTAAAGTATTTCCCAAATTTATGTAAAGTCTCTAATTAGGTTTCCAATACTTATCTAAGGTCATTTTTTTTTTAAAAGATTTATTTATTTATTTATACAAGCACTGGGTACAGTCAGAAGTGCGGGAGGGTGAGAGAATTCACCAGAGCCAGAGCGGGGAGCAGAACAGGCAGAAGGACCGAAGTACACTGCTGAGGGGAGCAGCGGGCGGCAGGAGAGGTCTGCGCGCCATGTGGGACCCTCACCCGGCTGCCGGGGATTGAACCAGTGCTGCAGAGGCTGCGGGCAGCTTCGCAACCCAGTGCTCAACTGCTGCACCACCGGGGAGGCCCTCTAAGGTCATTTTTATTTACTTGTTTGAACTAAAAATTTCTTCCCTCTTATACTAATCAAGTGTAGTAAGTAAATAATAGGCTATTTGAATTTCTTAACTATGTGAGAATTTTATTAGCTTTTATTATGATTTTCTAAAATACAATTCAGAAAAAACCCACCTCTGTTATTCTGGTACTTATAATTAAATTAGAGGAGCTTTATTAATGCAAGCTTTACACCACACCAAGTACTAGCCCACAGTGGCTTTTGGAGGAATAGTCCATCTTAAAATGAATCATTATAGTAGTTTATGTAAATGTGAAATTGGGAGGAGGTGTGTTTTAAAACATGAAGCATAGGCTGCATTAAAAAGAAGCTGCGAGGGCCTCCCTGGTGGCGCAGGCTGTTGAGCGCGGCACTGTGAAGCTGCCTGCAGCCTCTGCAGTGCCTGTTGGATCCCCACCGGCGGCGAAGATGCCCACATTGTGTGGCAGACCTCTCCTGTCTCGCCTGCTGCTCCCCTCAGCAGTGTATTTATGTTGTCTGCCTGTTCTGCTCCCCACTCTGTCTCTGGTGAATCCTCTCACTCTCCCGCACATCTGGCCTGTACCAGTTCTTGTATGCATGAATAAATAAATCTTTAAAAAAAAAAAAAAAAAAGAAGCTGCAAGTAGAAGGAGAAGCAGACAAAGAGGAAGAATCAAAAGGAAGTCAAGTCATAACTAGAGTCGAGAAACAGCCGTTGTCCACTGTGGAGGGTAAAGCAAGATGGCCTGGCAAGTTAACAAGTTTCTTAATGTTTTTCTTAGACTGAGTTATAGAGAAATTCTATCACATAAGAAACATCCAGTATTTCTTCGTTTGCATCTAAATCTCATGGCATCGTTTTCACTGAATTTGAAAAAATTACGTATTGAATCAAGCTTACTAAGGTATCTTTAATATATCCCAGGGTCAGCTAGAGCAAACTTCTGCCAGTTCACTAGAGTTAATTTTTAATTTTCAAGAATTTTGTGAGCCAGTTGTTAAAAATGACCATTATTAAAAATTAATGCATATGTGCTTACAATTAAGCTATATTGAAAACAAAATAAGAACTCAAAGCTCATCAACTCCTAATTATGTTATAATATGTTTACTACCATTATGCCCTTGAGGTTATTTTTAATGTATGGTATATTTTGTGTATGTATTTTTATGTATGGTGTATTGCTGGTACCTCTCCTTCCAAAGCCACCTTTTTAGTGAGATCATGTTGGTACCTTGAAATTGACCATGGCAGGAGTATTTACACATGAAATTGTCAAACCACAATCCAGGACTTTATTGTTCTATTAATTTTCTAGATTATGGAAGTAATGGTGAAAATATTAATTGTCAGAGAGCTTTTTGTTTTGTTTTGTTGGGAATCTAGTGTTAAATTCTTACCCTCAAACCAACGCATCTGGTGTCATCTATGTCTGATTGAAAAAATCATTTCACTAACTCAGAGGTTCACTTTTTGAAAGAGTTCTGTCTTACTTTTGATAAGTCATTGTACAGTGTTTACATTACTGGAGGGCACAGCTAAAAACTCTGTACTGTGGCTACCCTCCGTGATTACACCACTCTAACTTTCATTGTTGTAAACCTGCAAAGTCCTTGCTCATCTAAATAAAAATAGATTTCTTAGATCAGGTGTTTTCTGAGATGCACAGCATTTTCCTTCTTTCTGTTGTAGGGGAGCACATCTTCTACTGCTCTCCAAGAAAGACTGATTTGATAGTTTATTGGGAGCAGGAACTTAAATGTCCTTCTTGATATTTATTGTTCATCTGGATCTAAATTTCTTAATTAGAAATAATTTCCCCACACAATTTTGAAGCTACTGCTAAATTTTCTAGCTTCTAGTATTATATTGACACAGTTCAATGCCGTTTTTATTTAATGCTTTGTATGTTCTTCACAGCCAACCTGTCTGGAAGCTTTTAGGATCATTGTCCTTGATGTTCTAAAATTTCAAGGGGTGACATTTTTTCCACATTTATATCTCACTGTCATTTCCATAAGCTTCATAGTCCAATCAGATTGGACCATCAATCCCATCATAAGTCTGCATATTCCTGTTTTTATTCTCTTCTTTTCTCCATTTAGAATGACCTTTCTATTCATTATCATCACACATTGAAAAATCCAAAGTTAAAATCTTCCTTGAGGGCTCAGTGGAAGAATAATAAATTCTAAGATTTTTCTTACTCAACCTAAATGGTATCTGAACTTTCCTTATATACTTCTGCTTCATTTATTTTAATTTAATTACCTGGATACATGTCCTTTGATTTACTGTAAATTCCTTCAAGCAAGAAACAACTAGCTTATGTATGTGTTATGTAGGTTTCTCCTCCCAAAGCGGGAGGCTGAAATCATTAGAGCTTGGCGATTTATTTGGAGAAGTGATTTCAGGACTAGGCGAGGGGACCGAGAAGAATGAGACAAGGGAGAAGGGAAAACAATCCCAGTTATTGAGCTGGTTCCTCCTGTGGGTCAGTAAGGCTTAGTCTCTTTAGGGACTCTGAGGAGTGGTATAGACTATGCCTTGCTTTTTTTGCCATGAACATTTTTTAATTGAAATATAATTGGCATGTAACATTGTATTATTTCAGATATACAGCCAAATGGCTCGACAGTTGTACATAATGCAAAATAATCATCATGATAAGTCTAGATAGCCTCCATCACTGAACTATGCTTCTTTTTTTTAACCACAAATAAGTACTCTAATGATTCCCATCCCCTGAGTGGTCAAATAACATCTCAGGGAATATCTCTGGCACTTTCAAGTTTATGCATACACCATAATGGGCAAATAGGCTTCCACAAATATCCTGCAAATGGTATCAGTGAAACCAGGGGCATAAAGTGAGAGATGCATGCACCTATGCCAAGGTGCCGTGAGGCTGCACCTGCCCAGAGCTGGCTGCCAGAATAAAAGGGTAGACAAAAAATAAGTGTGATGAGTATGAAAAATCTATCATTAATAAAGGTGGAATAAAGTTATCTGCTATAACCTATTCCTTGCATTGCTCTAATATGCTCATGCTGTGTTTGAATAGTTCTCCCAAAGATAGGAGTGCAATGTAGAGAAGGAGATGGACTACATTCTTCCTTCTGATCAAAGGAGCAAATGTTCTTGTGCATATCCATTCAGACAGCTAGGATTGCAACAAGATCTCTAGGCACAGGAAAGTAGGTACAGAATTTCCATTTGTCCTGAGATGAAACAAACTTTTGGCTCACCTTCCCCCAAATGCAGACCCTGAAGCAAATATTCAACTGCAAGTAGTTTATTTCAGAGGTGATCCCAGGAAAACCCTACAAAGAATGAGGCTGTGAAATATAAATAAAAAGGAAACCAACAAAGAATGCTTTATCAAATTATTTCTACAGTGAACAATCAGAATTCTATACTACTGGGGGACTCAGGGAGAGTACAAAGTATACCCTAGATACAAAAAATGGGTAAGAAAGTTGGGGTATTTACCTGCCAATTCTCTTACTAAAATTGATTACAAGCTGCATCTGTGGACAACATCTGGCACTTCTGAATTACCCTTTCTGGGAACCAAAAGTGGGTTTTTGTGACCAGGAAAAAATCCCTTCAGGCACAGAGTCTCCAGCATTACCAAAAAGCAGCTTTCAACGTGTAGAGGTGAAGGGCAAGTGGAAATGAATAAGGGCAACAACCGCTATAAAAGGCTGCTATGGAAACCTGGCTCAAGATGTAAAAGTCAAGGGCTTTTCTAACATTGACCTTGGCACACATGAACGGATATCATGAAGTTGTTTGAACAGGTGCATTTCTTGATTACATGATTAATTTAATGAATTCAGTCCCAGAAAAAAAAAAGTGAATCCCTCCTGTGTTAGAAATTAACCATTTAAATCAAAATTAGATTATTGCATTCATTTTTATTACTATGTATAACTGGTGAAATAGAACATGAAAGTGCCCACTTTTTTTCTACATCACAAATTCAAAGTTGTGTTTAGTTTTATGTTAATGAAAAATAAAGTCATTGTTGGAATTTCCAAGAGCAGCAGCAGTAAAAGGAGGAATATTTTTAGGTTTATGTATGATTTATTTCTTAGAAAGTCTCCGTCAACTTAATATTAATGGCTGCTCTTAAGTTAATCCAAAAAAGCCCATGTTTGCTCTTCTCCTTGGGCCATTCCAAGTAGGTTCTCCGTGCCATGAGAGCTTTGAGCTTGTGGTAGCTGCTAGGAATGGAATACTGTGGAATGGGTTCCAGCAAGATCAGGATCAAGTTGTTATATCCTTCATGGAAGAGATTGTGATGGGCAAAGTAGAGCTCATAGTGGCACCACTCACTCTGCACAAAGTTGGGAGACAAAACAAAGATGGACTTGTAACTTTTCTCAATGCAGTTGATGATATTTTCCACAATGCTCTTGCCAGGAATAAAGTTCCTTTCATGTAGACAGACCCGTATATCTTCTTTTTCTAGATTCGGCAGTAATTCATTCTTCACCCAGGAAGAATCGAGCCCACTGTATGAAATAAAAGCATGGAACTGGACAGTTCTTTGGAGCTCCTCTAAAGGTATGTTCCTAGCCCTGCGCCGGGTCTGGGTCCACTGGCACACCATCCTGAGATACCAGGGCACATCAAAGTAGCTGCAGAGGGCAGTCACGGTGATGGCCAAGACCAGCACTGTGACCACAATGGTGACAATCAGCAATGCTGTGTTGCAGGATAGTGGAGACACATGGAAGTCCTTCAGTGGGGTGCCCTTAGAGCTTTCTGGATAGTCACACATGTAAGAATCAGGCCAACCCTCTACCACCTCACTTGGTGCTTGGCCTACACTTTGGATAAAGTCTCTTAGCTCACATGTGCATTGGAATGGGTTGTTCCCCGCTCTGATTGACCTCATCTTCTGGCAGTTCTGGAAGAAATCACCAGGTGGGTTGGAGATTGAATTATACTCAATGATCAGAACAGAAAGGCTACTCATAGCACCACAGCCAGGGAGCTTGGTTAAAGAATTGAAAGCCACATTGAGTTCTTGCAAAGCTTCCAGATGGTTGACATCCTCTGGGATGCTCCTTATTCTGTTGCTGTGAAGATCAAGGACCTTCACCCTGGGAGGTAAACATCTGAAAACAGAGTCAGTCAGTATATTTGAAGACATATTTAAAATTAATAAACTTTTAGTCCAAGAACAATTTCCTTTGCTGTCATCATACTTTAGAGAATTCTGGCTAATATCCAATTGTTGTAGAGACTTCATCTCCTTGGTAATATGAATTATATTTGCAAGTTCCTTTAGCTGGTTCATTTGTAAGTTAAGTGACTCCAACTTTGTCAAGTTTTCACAATCTTTAAAAACCATGTCAGTTAAGAGATTATCAGAAAAATCCAAATGCAGAAATGGGCTACTTTGGGATGGGCAGAGCATGTGGACCATGGGGGTGCCCGACACTGTGAAGTTCTGGATGTTCATATTTGAAAAGATTGTGTAGATCACATTCTGTGGCAAACTGAACGTGTCACTGACAACATGGCATATAGACAAGGCCTTCAGTGAAGTACCAGAATAGTTAAAATCTCCTAAGCTAAGGTAACCCTGTAGTTTCACATTTTTAATTGAGAAATACTGTGTGCTGGTATGCCAAACCAACTGGAGAATCCTAATGAAAGAATTCCAGGTTGTTTCGACATTGTTTACAGTAAGATTTGATAACTTTGGGTTTCTTTGAAGTTTCCACAAAACATTTGAGAAATAAAATCTACTATCATCTCGCACACATTTGATATTAGACAGTTCCAGACTTACTGCCGTGCTGACAGATACATCCAAATTAAAATGGAATTCCTTTATTGTGGGGAAAACAATGTGCAGACTCTCTGTGTTAAGGTCTTGAAGGCTCCCTGGGTCTTCCTTTTCTCCATACGCATTTCCTAAGACCAGTAACACCTTCCTGAGATGTAAATGAGCGATGGGCAGCATGCTAGACTTTTGTAGCTGTGAGGCACTCAACCCCAGAAATTCTAGCCGAGACATGTTGCCAAACTCTCCACATATGGGTAGGGTATCGAATGCATTAAATGACAGGTCTAAGTATTTGAGGTTCACAGTAGGGTGGCAAGAAATCTCCCCCAACTCGTTGTGAGACAAATCCAAGTATTCCAATTCCTGGTTGAATTTGAAAACACTGATATCAAGATACTGGATTCTATTATGAGAAATCATCAAAATCCTCAATTTTGATAGTGAGAGGATGTCAGAAGTTCGAAGCTCAGATATATTATTTTGTGATATATCTAAGATAGTTGTTTTTAGAGATAGATCTTTGGGAATATGGAGGAGACCTGTGTTTGATCTATTAACTAAAAACTCACTTTCATCAGATAATAGGATTCTTATCTCAAGTATTAACAAGAAGATGATGGCAAAGTGGAAGATGCTAGAATTGGGGGTAGTCATTTTGCAACATTAGGCATTCCAAAAGAACATTGTTATTCTTCAGAGTATCTTGATACAGGCACACATCCTGGGGGGTGGAGAGAGGGTTCGGGGAAAGAATACATTAAATGATTGTATTACATTAAGCATGACTTACAGAAAACAATTTTTAACTAGAGATTCATACATTTTTTTGGCATCACACAATCTGAAACCAGGGAAGTAAACATTCTGATAAACAATTATGCTGCATTTTAACATGGATGGTATGATGGGTCAAATGGTGTCACCTTCAACATATAGCTCTATCTCCCCCCACCCCGTCACAGTCTCCAGAAACTGTGACTGTTAGACCTCATTTGGAAAAATGATCTTTGTAGAGATAATTAAGTATCCTGAGATGAGATCATCCTGTATTACCCGGGTGGCCCCTAATTCCATTGACAAGTGTCTTTATATGAGAAAGGAGGTATTTGACAGGGGCAGGAGACCAGAGAGATGCAGAGTAGAAGCCATGTGACAACAGAGGCAGCATTTACAGCTAAAAGCCACAAGGCAAGAAATGCAACAGCCACAAAAGAAAGTGCAGCCTTGTGGACCCCTTGATTTTGGACTCTGATCTCTAGAGGTATAGAGAATAAATTTCTGTTGTTTTAAGACACCAAGTTTATGGTAATTTGTCCCTATAGACATAGGGAACTAATACAGATGGTTTTACATATTTGTGGAACGTTCTCTGGTCCCAACCCTTCAGAGAGCATTTAAAACTTTTCTTGCCTTGCCTTTAATTATCTATACACAGTTTGGTGCCTTTGCTCTTATTCAAAAAGTGGTCTGAGGCACGGACGGAGGTCAATGTTAGCATGAAATAAGTTAGGATGAGAGGAGTTTGGGCCATCATTGTACATGTATCTCACTGCAATGAACTGGAATTTTATTCTGAAAGATAAGAGCAGATGGTGAGCACTGAAAGGTCTTGAGGATGGGAGAAGTCTTTTCCTCTCCTTAATGAGAACTTTTTCATTTTTTCATCAAATAAATACTTATTCCCTATGAAGTGCTCTACATTGTTCTAGGTTATGTTTACTGCTTTAGTTATCAATCCACTATAGCTCAGACACTATTTTCCTATTACCATTCCAGTGGCACATGAAGCCAGAGGGAATTGTGTTGGAATCAGTCCTCCAGAAGACCCCGTACCCCCAGAGGCCCTTTAAGCTGGAGCCACACAGGTCTTTAAAATCCCCTACAACTGCATTCGACAAGCTAGCCATCAGGATCAGCAAAGAATAAAGTTCCTCTTCAGGCCTCCCTGGTGGCGCGAAGGGTTGAGCACTGCACTATGAAGCAATCCACAGCCTCTGCAGCACGAGTTCGATCCCCGGCTGGCCTGGGAGAAATCACATGGCGAGGCAGACCTCTCCTGTCTCACCTGCTGCTCCCCTCGGCAGTGTATTTCATCAGTCTGCCTGTTCTGCTCCCCGTTCTGTCTCTGTTGAATCCTCTCACCACCTACATCTCTGGCCTTTACCCCAGGTCTTGTATGCATAAATAAATAAACCTTAAAAAAAATTAATAAGCCATCTATTTTTTAAAAAAAAGAATAAAGTTCCTCTTCATAAAGATCCCCTCCCATCTCTCAGTAGGTTTAGAGGACCTCATTAATTCAAGTCCCAGAAACAACCCTGAGTTGCAAAAGTTCCCCAAGTCCGACATGAAAATTTATCTAGTTTTTGGAGATTTGCTTGGACTTACCCTTTTGTAGAGGTTCCAAATCATGTCTTGGTTATCCTGAGTTCATTAAACATAAGAAAAGAGTCTGATACATTCCCTTCATCACCATTCATGAAAACTTTGTACAAGGGAAGGCACGTAGGCACCAAAGTACATGGTAAAAGTAAAGGTGGCATTTTTATGGTATTGGTTTTATTTGCCTGAAAGACTCAGAAATTTCCCAAATTTTCCCCTCCAGCTTCCTGAGAGAAAGATTAAGAAGGAAGAAATATTTAAAGGCGAATCAAAATAATGCCCAATTATTGACTAGGCCAGTACTTAGTACCTCAAAACAGAGCAATCTGGGAAAAGCTAGGTGGAAGAAGTGGGTTGAGCTTAAGTTTCAATCGGCATTTCTTATTCCTAAACATGAATGCAAATCTGGGTCTCTTTCTACCTCCTGGCCAACAATCAGAACTCAGACACAGTCATCTGCATAATCAGACAAGGTACACAGAAAATGACTAGAGAAATTCAAGGCAGAGACAGATCCCACACATGGACAGGACTGCCTGGCCCATGAAGAATCCATTGGCCAGAAAAGGAAACTTATCCTTGTTTCTTTAACAACAGCAACCACCACAATAATTTAAATTTACAAGACTGCCTATCCCCAAATGTTTAATGAAAGCATGGTATCCGTTTTACATCTAGTTGAATGAATTGATTCAAATATATTCTATTTGCTAAACTTTCATGGTGCCTCTACATTTGAAGTCATTCATTTGAAGTACTCAGCTTATGAAGCTGTCTTTATTTCCATCACTAAGGATGAAGGTATTGTACCAATATATTTACATATTAAATTTGCTATATCAGTGAAAAATCGCATTATCTGATCAAAGTCCTAATGAACATCATTGAACCTCATCTAGATTAACATCTCTAAGCTATTTTACTACCAAGTAAAAGGATTATTGCTAAGTTGATTAGTAAAAGAATGTTTTGAATGGATAGTATAAAAATATTCCAACTTTTATGATTATGATCATCTTGGTTTCACTAGATGAAACATTAATACATTTGAATTGCCTTTATGCAGAGACCTTAGGGGCATCAAATAAGGGCTGTGAGTTGTTTTAATGGATAACACCCATACAGCCAGGCTGTTGCAGGAAACATATATTTGAGGATCTCTACACCAGGTTAACTAGCTATTTACTACAAATTGAAAGGATTGAAACTAGTTCAAAATCTTTTCCGCTTTGTTTTCTATGTGTTCTGAGGAACCTTTGCATTTTCTTGGAAAGATGCATTCACTTTCAATTCTTTTGTACAAATTGAATGTGGCCTGGGAAACATTTTCAAATCCTACAATTGCATCATATATATTGCACCACAGAATAGTTTCAGTGCTCTGAGGAAAACAGGAAAGAGTAACTTCTGGGATCAACCCAGAGAAAAAAACGAAAATAAGCCTGCCCATAAATACAAATGAGTTGTGCACAGCACTGCCTTAAGAAACAGTTTACTTCTGTCCCCGTTTTCTTAGGACTCTCACTGCAAAACGATGGATGGAGGGGGCTGAAGGAAAAGCAATGCTGGCTGAAATCAACAACTAGCAGAAGACACGCGGAACCCAAATATTCATCTCCCAACTCAAATATATCTCTTGAAAGAAAATCATGACATGAGGAATTTTCAAGAAGAAAAAGACACCCCTGCCCCGCAAAAAAAGGCTTTTTCTGAATAAGGAAAGGATATCAAGGAGAAGCTGATAAACAAATGCTAGATCAGCACAACACATAGTAAATGCATTTCAGAAATAATCACTTAGAAAAACATCTAATACTTAATCATGGAGACTTTTGAGAATTTTGCACCCAAGAGCTAAGCATACCCTTTAAAAAAAATAAAATAAAATAAGGGGTCTCCTTGGTCATGCAAGGGGTTAAGCATCAGCACTATGAGGCAGTCCACAGCTACTGCAGCAAGAGGTTGATTCCCCAGCCAGGGAGCTGACCCACATGGCGCAGCAGACTTCTGTCTCGCCCTCTGCTCCTCTCAGCAGTGTATTTCAGTAGATCTGCCTGTTCTGCTCTCCACTCTGTCTCTGGTGAATCCTCTCACCACCACTACCACCCTGTACCTCTTTCCTGTACCCCCGTACTTGTATGCACAAATAAATAAAACTTAAAAAAAATAAATTAAAAATAAAAAAATAGTAAGCTAGATGTCACTTACCACGGCAACCTTCCCCTCCAACCCAGTCAGCAGCCTGTAGGAAAGTCAAGTACTTCCTGAAATATTTATTTCACTGGTAACCACATTGAATAGTATGGGGTGCAGGAAAGGCTCTTTCATGCCATCTACTGAATTCTACTAAAATTACATTCCATAGTAAGTGTAAAACTGTTCTATTCATATGTACAAATGAGACTGGGGTAGTTGGCAGTATTAAAATAGAATCATCTCTTTGGTTCTGTATTTTATGACAGTCAGCCCGCTATTGCCAGGTGAATGACGTGAAGGAAGTGGTGTTCATAATCCACAGAGCATCACTGACTGGCTCACTGTGCTTATCCTGCTGGTGGGGTGGGAAAGCAGGTCTGGGTGTATTCAGGTGCTTTGTGTTCTTTCTTGCCTTTTGATCAGTGCTCCATAACAGGTGACTAAGAATGGAAAGAGGAACAGGTCAAGATCAAAGTTTTGCTAAAATACCATTCATGGACTGACACACAATAAATGCTCATTGGTGCTCAGTTTTTTTCCTCTGATGTTTTCAAACTTTCTTCAAAAAGTGATTTTTTAACTCCATGTGAAAGGCCTGCTATCTAAGAATCTCTTTTCGCTGATCTTCAAATGATACTTTCTTTGGGCTAGTTGTCAGTACACTCAGGAAATCCACTCTGATAGCCCCACTCTTGTCTTTTCACATAACAACCAGAATGACAAAAACAACACATGGGCAAATAAAGCTAGTAAACTCTGTCAGCCTCTGATGCTGTCTTCAGCCAAGTATTGTGTAATGTCCAATACAAACTAGAGGTGGAGATGCTAAAACATGTTCCCTTCTCTGCCTCCAAAATTCTTTCCTGTAATCATTTTTTCTACCACAGAGAATTAAGAGTCTTGGGATTCTTTTTAACTTGTAATATTCTCTCTCTCTCTCCCCACCCCCCACTCCTCACAATTTAACACGTGAAATGTATCTATAACTACATTTCTGAAAGTAAAAGAACAAACTTCCTTCCCCTCACCCACACCATTTCTTCCCTTAGACCCATGATTGGAAATGAGGGTGATCATTGAGTAAGAATTCAGTTCCGGGCTCCCAAAGTCAGAGGACCTTGTGCATCCAGGCCTATGGGCTGATGCCTCTGAAGCTATTTTCCTCCAAGTTCATCCCACCGCTCTGAGTTGCCCACCTGCCTCTTTTTATTCCCAATTCCCCACCATAGCCCAGCAGGTAATACTGGAGAAACACACTTATAATCATGCATCGATAGAAACACACACACAGAAACACTTTGTCAGAGAATATAATTTCCTTTTAAAATTTCAATATTTCATTTAACCTAACATATCCAACATACTATTATTTCAATATAAATTCAATATGAAACATTTATGAATGAGATACTGTATCTTTTTTGCACTCTAAGTCTTCAATATCCTGTGCCTTTTCTACACTGACAGCACAGCTCAGTTGGGCTCATTCCATGTGGCCAGTGTTCACTTCAGCTGGTGATTACCTGATTGGACAGCCTTGGTCTAGATGGCAATGTCACAGCCCTTTGAGTAAGCACAAGTCCTAGTCTAGTGAATAGTAGTCCAAAGAGCTAGGGCAAAATAGAGACACCACATCTTAGACGCTTGGCCCCTCTCGGCTTCTCTCATTAGAGATGTCTGGCCGAACCCTAATTCCATACCCAGACATTTCTTTTGGGATCCAGAGCAGTGTCAATATCATGTCACTTACATATGACCTGTCATTACAAGTACATGCATGGTGGTTTTGCTTTTAACAATAGCTTTTTTGAGAGATACTTAATATGCCATAAAAAAATTCACCCATTGAAAGTATATACATCAATGACTTTAGGAATAGTCACAGCATCAAGGCAATCACCACCACAACCAATATAGAATCCTTTCACTACCCTGCAAAGAAGCACTGCACCCTTAGCTATTACCCTCCCTCCCCCCACCCTAGACAACCACTATAAAATGTGTTACTTTCTATAGATGACACCATTCTGGACGTTTCATATAAATGGGATCACACAGCATGTTTCTTTATAACCAGTTTCTTACACTTAGCTTAACATTTTCAAGATTCCTATCTGTTGTGGTCTGTGTGTCAATGTTTCATTTTTTGTTGCCAAATAGTTCTCCTTATAAGAATAGCCCACATTACACTTATCCATTCATCAGTGGAGGGGCATTTGGGATGTGTAAGTGTATGACTTTTATGAATAATGGTGCTATGAACATTTGTGTGCCAGTTTTCCAATAGACTTATTTTCTCTTGAGTTTATAGTTAGATGTGAAATTGCTACATCATATGGTAATTATGTTGAATCTTTTGAGGAGTTCTAGGTTGTTTCTAAAGCAGCTGCACCATTTTACATTCCCATCAGCAGTGTGTAAAGTTTCTAATTTTCCCACACCCTTGTTAACACTTATTATCTGACTTCGCTATAGTCTTTGAAGGGGAGGAAACATAATTTTCCCTCTAACCTTTGTGAGGTTCTTGGCTGAGACACCCTCTTTAATAAAGACAGATTAACAGGAGAAAAACAAATTTAATTTTGTATATAGAGCCCCAGATATATGAGACCCAACGAAGTGACCAAAGCAGGCAGATTGGGGGAGGGGCAGGGAGGGGCGAAGGGGTTGTATCTATGTTCATCAGAGATATTGGTTTGTAATTTTCTCTTTAGTCCTTGTCTGGTTTTAGGATCAGGATCATTTTGGCCTTATAAAATGTGTTTGGAAGCTTTCTCCCCTCTTCAATATTTTGAAGCATTTGGGAAGGATAAGGGTTAGGTCTTCTCTGAAAATTTGGTAGAAATTCACTACTGAAGCCATTTTTGGCCATGGACTTTTTGTTCTTAGGGAGACTTTTTTTTTTTTTTTTTTAAAGATTTATTTATTTATTTTATTTATACATGCACTGGGTACAGTCAGAAGCGCGGGAGGGTGAGAGAATTCACCAGAGCCAGAGCGGGGAGCAGAGCAGGCAGAAGGACCTAAGCACACTGCCGAGGGGAGCAGCGGGCGGCAGGAGAGGTCTGCGCGCCATGTGGGACCCTCCTCCGGTGGCCGGGGAGCAGCCGGGGATCGAACCGGCGCTGCAGAGGCCGCGGGCAGCCTCGCAACCCAGCGCTCAACCGCTGCGCCACCGGGGAGGCCCATCTTAGGGAGACTTTTGATCAAACTTTTTTTTATTTCTAAATTTGTGATTGGTATGTTCGAATAGTTAGTTCATTCTACTATTATGTCAAAAACTTGCTTTAGTCTGTAAGTCATTGTTCTATATATTTATTGTATGTAAACATTAACTAATAGTTTTATCTTCTTAGTGTATTATTCCCTTGATCACTCTATAGTGTGCATCTTTGTCCCTAATTACATTTTTTGATTGAAAGTCTAAGAAGTCTATCTAAGAAGAATCAACATTCTTGCTTTTCTCTCTGCTATTGACTTAAAATACCTTGCTCCAGCCTTTCACTTTATTTTTAATTTTTGAAGAACATGTCTACAAATGGAGAAATGACCAAGCCCGGGTGAATTCCCACAGGGAAAAATCTAAATGCCCCCCATGAATTCTTCAGGTCACCACAGCTACCTCCTCTTCTTGTAACCTTGGTATAGATTTAAAGTTTCCCCTCAGTTTCTGGCAAAACAAGTCCAACTATTTTCTTTCTTCAGAAGATGGGCCAGCTCGATTCTCTTGCAGAGTTTTCTTGCTCTTGTTGGTGAAAAAAGCAGATTCTACTTTTGCTCTTTTTTTTTTTTTTTTTTTTTTTTGCTTTTTTTGGGTAGGTCCTGGTTCTTCCTCTGCTATTACTCAGGCCCACTTGGCTCTGATTCTTCTTGGTCAACCACTCAGCAAACATTTGTGCCTGAGGAATTTTACTCTGCTATCCTCTCACCCTTTTTCTTGTGTCAGTTATAAAGTCCTTTCTTTTCTTCTTTCCTCTTAAGGCCAAGTCAAACTCCGATGGAATGTTGGCAATTTTTCCCTTCACCTTCTCTTTTTTGGGTCTGGAACAATCCTCTCAGACTCTTTCTCAGTGTCACTTTCCCCTCTCCAGGAGCCACTTTGCTGTGTTAATCTGGGTTTCTACTGCTACATTTGTTTCGCCCAGCCTCTAGTGGCAGAACTGCATATATATCTTTTACCATTTTAACAATCTTATCCTGAAATTTGAGGTTGGGCCTTCACTGGGGCTTGCACAATCTCCTTCAGCGTCTTCCGCCCCTCTTCTCCCACCAGAGACAGAGCTCCCAGACCTGCCCGCAAGTGCCAATCACCCCACCTAGTGGACATAGTGCTTGATGGTTTGGGGCATCATGAATGTGACTACTGTCCTGCATCCCTCAATGTCAAGTCCATGCTGCTACACCTGTGGGGAAGATGATGTCAATCTGTTCATCCTTAAAACACCTGCAGGTCACTGTGTCCGTGGCCCCAGAAAGACATGTATGTGGTGGGCCTGCTTGCTGGTCTGGGTGAGCAGTGTCACAGCCTCTTCTCATCAGCAGAGCTGCCACTTTGGCCCCCGAGTACCCTGCCCGATTTGGTCAAATCCTGATAAACTTCTGCCTCAGGAAAGGGGCCACACCTGTGTGGCTATTCACAAGTATATGCATAGGATTCTTCAAGGACATGGAAATCATATCTTTTTTTTTTAAAGATTCATTTATTTATGCATACAAGGACTGAGGTGAAAGCCAGAGGGGGCATGGTGAGAGGATTTACCAGAGAAAGTGGGGAGCAGAACAGGCAGATCTACTGACATACACTGCTGAGGGGAGCAGCGGGCGAGTCAGGAGAGGTCTGCTGTGCCATATGGGTAGCTCCCTGACCTGCCAGGGATTGAACTGGTGCTGCAGTGGCTGGCAATAGCTTGATAGCACTATCTTTAACCCCTGAACTATCAGGGAGGCCCCAGAAACTTTATCTTTCACCTCATCACTCATCATACCTGAGAAAAGCAGAGTGTGGTGGTTGCGGTTAAACATATTCAAATGAGTGACATCCTCTCACAGAAGTTGAGCTTCTCATCATGACCTGCTGTCATGGTCAGCCTGCCTTCCCTTCTGAACTACCTCTGCATCTCCTTCAACCCTCATCTTGCCCTCACACTCCAGCCACAAGTGCCTGCCAACTATTCCCCAGAGGTACCACATTGATTCCCTCCACGCCGACCATCCCCTTTGCTGGTCTTTGTCTCTCCCTGGAGCTTGCTCAGCTTATTTTTGCCATTCATGTCTCAGCTCAAATGCCATTGCCCTCAAGAGGCCTCCTGTAAACTCCCAGTCAGAGTGAATCATTTTAACAATGTTGAAGGTATTCTAGATGCTTCTCCAGTTCTTATCCCTTACTCAGTGGCAATGTGAAAAGAGCAAAGGAATCCACGTTCATCTTTCCGAGGGACATGACCCAGAGTGGCACAAAGTTCCAGCTACATCCCACCACCCAGGATTCAATCCACATTTACATCAAGTTGCAGGGGAGGCTCAGGCTGGGGGTTCAGAATGGACATTGGTATAACTGAAAATCTCTGTCACATTTTTCAATTTAGTATCTGCATAGTCATCTGTTATGGATGAATTGTGTGCCCTCCAACATTCCTATGTTGAAGCCTTGTGTCCTCCCGCCCCCATTACCTTAGAATGTGACTGCACTCGAAAATAAGGCCTTTAAGGGGATTATTAAGGTAAATTGAGGTCCTAAGGAGGGACCCTAATCTAACAGGACTGATATCCTTATAAGAAGAGCAAGAGACACAGGGACATGTGTGCATAGAACAAAGGTCATGGAAGGACTCCGTGAGAAAGCAGCCATCAGCAAGCAGGGAGGGGGCCTCTCCTGAAACCAGCCCTGCAGATGCCATGACCTTGGACTTCCAGCCTTCCTGATAATGGCCATGAGGCAGGCTGTCCCAACCCTCCCCATGGTCAACCTGCCCACAAGTATCTCACCCACATCTTTTCCAAGTATCTCTACATGTCTCTCCTCCAAGTGTCTGCTCCAAGTCCCCAAAATCCCCAGTCTAAGTCCAAAACCCAGAAGCCAACCAGATCTTCTCTTCATGTCTCTCCCCTGAGCCCACCTGCCGTCTGAGTTACACCATTGCACCTGGCCGCTCAGCTCCAACCCCTAGCTCTCAGTAGCTAGTCCAGGGTGCTGCTGCTGAATGGGAGCAGAGAACATGGTACCTCCCCCTTGCCTGGAGATGCCGCTGTTACAACTGCACTGCTATTTTGGTCACGAAAATCTCCAAACCCATCCAATCTTACACATTTAGTAAATTCATCAGTCTCATGTTATTCAAAATTCTGCTTGGCTCTCACTCAGGCCTATTACACAGCGCAGTGGAGAAGGAGGGTGGTCAGTTTCTTTACCCGCCAACTTCTCTTCCTCATAATCTAGATGTCCTCAGACCACTGCGAGGGAGGACATATTAGGCAATGAGGAGTCAATCTCCCTGCAGTTTACTAGTGGATAAATTGACCAGCCACCATGTCTCTGCCTATTATTAGGGAAAAGTCCAGATACTGGCTCTTTCACAAACACACCATTATTCGGATGCCTCAAGTGGATCCCACATTTGCATAGTACCTTGATGAAGGGGCACATCTCTCACACCAACACCCTCTGTACTCACCACACACCACTTCCTCCAGCCCCTGACCTCTTACCACTATCGTTCCTTTGCACAACTGCCCAGTTAGCTGAAGTCCTCTCAAGCTCAGCCAGCCTGCCCATGATGAAGGTGGTCCACAGGAAATCACACACTCCCACAATAATGGGAGGGAGGTTGCAATCGCTGCTTCTCTTCTCTCTTCATCCTGCCTCTTAGGGCTGCCCAATCCAGCCTCTCACCTTTGAAATTCTCCAGGTGGGAAGCACTTAGCCATTCATTCAACGAATATTACCCAAGCACTTATATTTATTTGCCAGGTTTTATTTACCAATCTCTGTGTTCCTAACATTCAGTGCACCCCCAAATCCTGGGTGGGCCCATCAAATTCTTGCAGAAGCTCTCACTTTCTACCCCACGTGCTGCACCGGACCTGCATATTCCTGCTACTTGGCAAAACTCCAGGCTGGGAGTCAGAGGCCAGAATATTTCTCTATTCTGTGAACAGGCCCTCATCTGCCTTTGAAAAAATCCAACGACGTCTCCCCATAAGTCTAGAACCTCTACTTAACGATTCTCTCACCGCCTTTTTGAATCTAGTCTTCTGGAAATCAATGATGTGGTCTGATAGTTACTAGTCTTTGCTATATTTTAGTACATCTAACTTGGTTGTCGCTAACATTTCAGCTTTAAAATGTGACTGTATTTACAGTCTCTGTCAGCGTTGAGGCATTACCCAAAATTCTGAGAAAATCAGGAAAGTCTCATTAAATAACCAGTTACAAATAAATTGGGTTCTGAGTTTCCTTGGGAAGTGAATAAATCCAGGTCTTTGGCCTCAACAACCTCTGACTGAAATCTGTATTTCCCTTTATATACATAAATTGCTGTGTTGTGGGTCTCCATTAATTGTGTAGCCATAGCAAAAATTTAATAAACTATTACTCAGATGTGAAAGGAAGAAGCTTATTTCTTTATTTTCCATAACTGATGTAATTTTTTCTAGCCCCCAAATTGGATAGAATGACAGTGCTCACCCAGAGGTCCATGAGGAGGGCCCCAACGACCAGTGGACACAGTCTGGAGGTGGACTCTTTGCTGCCATGCACTCCCTTAAAATCCATTTGAGATTTAACTCCTCAGAATCCATTTGGGAAAGGAGAAGAGTGAGGAAAAGGCCTTGACTGACTGAGCATTTACTCAAAAGAGACAATATTAATTTGTATAGTTAAACCAGAGAGATTCAGTTATCTGTAACCTTAAATTGAAAAACACTTTTTATTAATCTTTCCTGAACGTGTGGAGATAGGAAGGCACCATCCAGATAGTAACTAAACACTGATTCAGTGTTCATCAGAATGCAAGTGAGTGACAAGGTCTAAGTAGAATCTTCTGACAGTGCCTAAGTCGGATCTTTCTCATCACTGTTTTCAGTAACTAGCGTTAATTTTGCATTAAAAGCAGCTATGATGTTAGCCCAAAAAAGTCCATGTTTGCTCTTCTCCTTGGGCCATTCCAAATAAGTCCTCTGTGTCATGAGAGCCTTCAGCTTATGATACTTGCTAGGAATATTGTCCTGAGGGATGGGTTCCAGCAAGATCAGGATTAAGTTGTTAGATCCTTCATGGAAGAGATTGTGATGGGCAAAGTAGAGCTCATAGTGGCACCACTCACTCTGCACAAAGTTGGGAGACAAAACAAAGATGGACTTGTAACTTTTCTCAATGCAGTTGATGATATTTTCCACAATGCTCTTGCCAGGAATAAAGTTCCTTTCATGTAGACAGACCCGTATATCTTCTTTTTCTAGATTTGGCAGTAATTCATTCTTCACCCAGGCAGAATCATGATCACTGTATGAAATAAAAGCATGGAACTGGACAGTTCTTTGGAGCTCCTCTAAAGGTATGTTCCTAGCCCTGCGCCGGGTCTGGGTCCACTGGCACACCATCCTGAGATACCAGGGCACGTCAAAGTAGACGCAGAGAGTGGTCACGGTGATGGCCAACACCAGCACGGTGACCACAATGGTGACAATCAGCAGTGCTGTGTTGCAGGATAGTGGAGACACATGAAAGTCCTTCAGTGGGGTGCCCTTAGAGCTTTCTGGATAGTCACACACGTAAGAATCAGGCCAACCCTCCACCACCTCACTGGGTGCTTGGCCTACACTTTGGATAAAGTCTCTTAGCTCACATGTGCATTGGAATGGGTTGTTCCCTGCTCTGATTGACCTCATCTTCTGGCAGTTCTGGAAGAAATCTCCAGGTGGGTTGGAGATTGAATTATACTCAATGATCAGAACAGAAAGGCTGCTCATAGCACCACAGCCAGGGAGCTTGGTTAAAGAATTGAAAGCTACATTGAGTTCTCGCAAAGCTTCCAGATGGTTGACATCCTCTGGGATGCTCCTTATTCTGTTGCTGTGAAGATCAAGGACGTTCACCCTGGGAGGTAAACATCTGAAAACAGAGTCAGTCAGCATATTTGAAGACATATTTAATACCACTATACTTCCAACCCAAGTGCAGAGTCCATCTTGTGTATTATATTGCAGAGAATTCCAGCTAACATCCAGTATTTTCAAAGATGGCATTTGTTTTGTCATGAGACCTATTTTAAAAAGATTTTCTAAATCATTCTTTTGTAAGATAAGTGTCTCCAATTTAACTAAAGTGGAACACTCTTGAAAAATACTATCTGTGAAAACATTATTCGTAAAGTTCAAAAACTTAAATGTGCTTAGTGTATGAGGACAAAGCATGTGTATAAAAGTTGTATCTGATAGAGTTAACATCATAATGTTCATCTCAGAAAACGCTCTGTATAATGCTGTCTTTGAAAAAATAAAAACTGTGTGTGTAATATGTTCTATTTTCAGTGCCTTCAATGTTGTTTTAGAATAAGTAAAATCTTCTTTATTAATGCTTCCAACAATTGTTAAATTGTAAATATTCAGGTATTCTACTGGTCTGGGCCAAAAGAATTCAAGAACTCTAATGAAACATTTCCAAGTTGTTGCCATGTGGCTGAGGGTAAAATTTAGTAAATTTGGACCTCTAATAATGTCTGATAAAAATTTAATTAAAACTTTACAGTTGTCTTCATTCAATTTCACATTAGTCAGTTGTAAGCACTCTATAATATTAACTGATATGTTCACTTGCAAAGAGAATAAACTATTTGGAGGAAAAACAAGATGAAGTATTTTTGTGCTGGGGATTTGAAGACTTTCCACCTCATTTTCTTTCACATAATAACCTTCTAAATCCAGAAGGATGTAGCCTAGCTTCAAGTGAGCAATTGGCAGAATATCTAATTGTTTTAACTTCGTAGCACTTAATCCCAAGAAATTCAGTTGTGTCAACTTGCCAAATTCCTTACAGATGGGCAGGACATCAAAGTCATTGAATGAGAGATCTAAATGCTTGAGACTCATAACTGGATGGCACGAAATCTTCTGTAATTGATTGTAAGATAAATCCAAATATTCCAAATCCTGGTTGAACTTGAAAACACTAAAATCAAGGCACTGGATTCTATTATGGGAAAGTCTCAAAACTTTCAGTTCTATTAGAAAGCTGATGTCAGAGAGGTGTATTTCAGATATGTAGTTCTGAGACATATCCAACACTTTGGTTTTGGGTGACAAGTCTCTTGGAATATGAGTAAGCTCTATTTTTGACATGTCTACTGAAAACTCACTTTCATCAGAGAACTGGATTATGATTCCAACTACTAAATTCACAATGCAAACCAGATGAAAGTTTCTAATAATAGGTTCTTTGCCTTTGGTCATGACGTTGAAGTAGTTGTCCCCCAAAGGGTTGTTATTCTTCAGAGCCTCTTAATATGAGTTTACATTCTAGAAATATAATAGACATTAAGGCATATAAGGATTGGATGATTATAAACCAATGTTATTTCAATTTTTAAAAATTTAAGAAAAAACATTAAGTGATTGTTCCCAACCTCCATTCATTAAGCACAAAATCTCAATGAGTTCTTCATTTACTATCAAAGTCACTTCTCTTTTCATAGCTTAATGTGATATTTTCCCAACTTAGACAGTTTGCTGACACAGAAGGAGGCAATATATATAGACCGTATTATCAAAGAATTGCTGTTGTGTGTTTTCACTGATCTGGTAACTCTCTGAGAGATTCACTTAGGGGTTTGTCTTTGTTTCACTTCCCTCAGTCTTAAGACTGGAGTAGGCTCCTGGGCAATGATTGCCAAATTATAATATTTCCAGAATTACTACATTGTAATTTTCAAAATAATAATATAATAGAATAATAAAATATTCAATATTCAACTTCCCCTCAGAAAGAAGCCATTGAGACAAAACATACGCTCTGGAATTTTTCTTTAGACAAAGAATTTCAATTTTTGACACAATTCTCATAAAGATGGATCTGTATTTTTCTAACTCACATTGGACCAGAAGCAACAAGGATTCCAGAGACAAGATTTAGTACTTGATAATCTGAAAACATCAAGTTCTTACAGTTTACACACTGACAAGATGGGGAGAAATAGAGAAATATTAAAACATACATTGAAGAAGTCAGAAGGTATGTCAGGCTAAAGCTGCTGTATGTCAAAGACAACAGTTTTCCCCAGGTCTTGCAGTTCTCACTGTGTTACAATAGATAGCAGGCACTGATGTTCAGGACAGCGATGCTAAGTGAATGAGAAGCGATTACCTGCCTGAAGTGGAGGCAGACACAAGAGCCCATGTGTGTGACTGGGACAAAGGGTTGGAACTGCAAGGCTCCCACTACCATATCAAGGATCTGAGCTACACAGAAAAGTATCTAGGAGGCCCTCGGGGATGATAACAGTCAACATTTCTTATGCAGGACACTTGTAGCTGGAATAATTGAGAGCAGAGTTTCACTACTTGTTCAGTTTTATTAACAAAAAGATCCACTGTTCATAACTAGAGGGTATATTGGAAACAGTAAAATAGACAAGAGATGAAAAGGGTTTCAACTACTCATTCTTTGGAAGAGTAAACATTCTGGGCTGGGGACCTATGGTGAAAAGTCCTTCACTGTTCCTCCCATACAGCCTCTCACAACAGTTCAGCAAAACATCCATGAAAACACAGAAACACTTAAAAGCTCCTTTAGTCTCTGAAAACAAAGGGTAGATGTTTTCTTTGGTGGAATTCAAAAACATCTCCATTCATGAAAAAATAACGAGTGTGTTAAGGAAAACTTGGCACATTCAAACAATGTCTCAAGAAAATAGACTCTCTAACAAAAAGTAGGAAGAACTTTTATCTCTCTGTTTGTATATGATTTACACACCAAAAATGGGAAACAACAAGGTAATTAGGAGTATTTCTTTTACTTCAGTGGGTATAAGATGCACGTGGGTCAGAAAACTGAGTCTTTCTTTGATGGACCACTACCCTTCAACTCTCCTAAATTTCTAAACCTAGTCAGTGATGTACACTATTAGGAAATAACTGGGCAAAGGGCCCTCCCACCACTCCCATTGAAAATAGGAAGTCTAAGCTAGAACAATTAGGTAAGAAAAAGAAATAAAAGGCATCCAAATTAGAAAAAAAGTAAGTAATCTATTTACAGATGACCTTAACATGTAAAAAATCCAAAGACTCCACCAAAAATCTGCTAGAATAATAAATTCAGTAAAGTTGTAGTACACAAAACAAATATACAAGGATCAATTGTGTTTCCATATACTAACAACAAACTATCTGGAAAAGAAATAAAATACTCCCATTTATATTTTCATCAAAAAGAACAAAATACCTAGGAATAAATTTAGCTAGAGATGTGAAAGAGCTATACATGAAAAATCTATACATATTGTTGAAATGTCCATTCTATCCACAACTACTTATCAAAATTCCAGTCACATTTTTCACAAATATAGGAAAACAGTGCTAAAATTTGTAGTCAAAGCAATTCTCAGACAGAACAAAAATGGAGGTATCACATGTACTGAATAGAAACTATATTATAAAACTATCATAATCAAAACAATGTGGTATAGTCACAAACAGACACATACACCAATGGAACAGAATCAAGAACCCAGAAATAAACCCATCCACAATGATCAACTAATATTTTACAAGGGACCCAAGAATATTCAAACTCTTATTCACTACTGGCAGAAATGAAAATAAATACAAACTTTCTAAAGTAATTTGGTCATTCATGTAAGTTTTATTAAAATATATTTACCCTTATTTTAGCATTTTCACTTCTCAGAATTTTCTTCTAAAAGAAGTATAAAAATATATATTAAAAGTGATGATGAGGATGCTCATAATATGATAAAAAATAGAAAAACTCATAGGTCTAGTGTAGACAATAATTTAATCAATTAGGCCCATGACATAGAATAACATGTTGCCTCAAATATTGCCCCGGGGGGCAGAATTCTCTGAATATGATGTTAAGTGAACAAAAGAATGCAGAAGTGCAATTGTAGTGTATATGTAAAGATACAATTAAAAATATATTTATACACAAAACCTATGGGGTAAAAGAACAGGAAGAAATATACCAAATGCTAATAGTAGTTATCTCTGGATCTCTGAATCATAGATGAATTTAATTTTCTTTCTGATACTTTTGTATATTTCCAGAATTTTCAATTTCGAACATCTTTTAAACATTGAAAACATTGTCTTAAAATATACTAATGTAGGAATATTTTACCTTTAAAGAAACACATATAATGTGGATTGTTCATATATATATATATATATATAGAGAGAGAGAGAGAGAGAGAGAGAACTTCTTCCACATGATTCTACTACTTTACATGCAGGGTGAGTACCCACTGAGAGATTGCCTGTGGTGTTTGTATTCAGGGGAATAAAATTCACGTACCATATGAGAAAGTCAGTCAGTTGTCTTTAAGCCCCAGTTTCCCAAAACACAACTATTCTTCCAGGGGCATTTGTATATCCCCAAGCTATTCCTAATGTGTGCACTTAACAAAGAAGCCAGGATCTTTTAAATTTAAGGAAGAAAAAGGTAGTGGGGGAGGGAAAAAAAGGGAAAGATTAGAGAGTCTGCAATTCTTTTAAAAAAGAGATAAAAGATAAAGTTTTAAGGAAGGAAGAAGAGAAAAGGAAAGTTCGTTTCTTTCCTTTAATGCAGCGAATGACGAGCGGGGGAAAAAAAGGGGAAGAAACTCTTGTTTTAAGAAAGAAACAATGATGAACAGAATCTATGAAAATTAAAACTACAAGAAAGGGAAGAACAGAAAACCATTGAATGAGGAAAGTGTGATTCCATAATAAAGTCAACAAATGTGCAAGAAAAACATTGCTTATTTGTTAGTTTATGTGAGTGACTGAGAGAAAGACACATTCCAGGCGGGTGCCTGTCACTTCCTCCATTTAGCGGACGCTCAGAATGTGCTATGTGCCAACATTGTGCTGGGTGCTAGGGCTAAAAATAACTAATTATCATTGCTTTCAAAATGCTTATAAATTAGTGACATATTTGTTTTTAATTCTACTCCCATGTGATCCAGGAGATCAAACACTCATGTCTACTATAAAAACACATACCATGTGATAGGTGGCGTCTCACTGACATAAACTACCGATTTACTGATAAATATTACTAAAAACAAGGAACCAGAGAAAGGAAGAAAACACAATAAATAAAAGCAGAAGAAAAAACATCAGTTTAATTATTTTTTCTTCACTCTGACTACGAGTGTTAGTTATCTTTATGCATTTTCAAGAATGCCATAAATACACCCTACTTGTTATCTTTCTCCTATAACTAAAGGATATTTTCAACATTAAGGAAATGTTACAAATTTTTGCAAAATTCCAAAGAATCGTTACCTATTTCCTATATGATTATTACCATTTTCTTTCTTATTTGAAGTCATTACATAATTTGAAAAAGGCGCAAAAGCCTTCCTACTTACCAAGATTTCTTTCTCAGAAGAAAAATAATTTCTAAATGCAGGGTAAATAAGTAAAACAGTGCCTTAGAAACAGTTTCGCGCCATCTGTTGGACCTCACTGGAATGACTCATACTTTCGAATTTCCTTTTAGCTGTCACGTGCAAAATCATGTGAGGCGGCAGGTTTTTCTGGGCTACACACTAAACTATAATCAAAGTTTTAAATTCATGTGAGTCTTCAGCTTGTGGTAATGAAAAGAAGTATGTTTTAGATAATCTTTATCTATAAAGCCTTTAAAATCTGAATATGAAATTGTCACCAGTGTGCTAAGTTACTGAACTTTGTTTTCCTTTATTGCCTTATTTAACATTTATAAAAATAATTCAACTACCATTATCAATCAATTTTGGAACATTATTTTAGCTGGATGAGATGCTTTGAAATAAAGTCTAAGATTCTTTTTTAATTCAACCTTAAAGGAAAGTATATTAGCTGATAAATATTTGGCCACACCTTCAGGAAATTGTATCCTTTTCCTGGTGTTCTGACCAACATTTGGTACTATTGGATGTTTTAATTTTTAATTCTAGAATAATAGATAACACTGTGATCCTGCAAGACAAATGAAAAAAATCGAGCTTCTTAAAGTCATTTAGAATAATTTCAGAATATCATCAGAGGTGGTTACCAAAAAAGGCGTGTGGTTAACCAAATACTTCAGGCAGTCAGAGTACCCTATTTCTAAAACTTTACAAAGATTTAATTGAGGTTCTGTAAAGAATGTAACATATGAATTAAATAATCATTCGATGATTTATTCCTCATGGCCTGGCATTATCTTATTTGTACAAAAATCAAGTTAAGACCCTACAGTTGGGCCCATGACAGAGTGCAACACCTGCCTAATCATCACGTCTGCTTTCAGAAAGAAAGTAAAAGTCAGATTTTTATTATATGTTCTTACTCATCAAACCTAACAGGAAATCTTCTCAGGCATGGGAGGGTCAGGCAAAAACTGACCAGCAAAAGGAGACTGAGGGCAGTGGGTCTCGGTGACCCCAGCAAGTCAGATTTGTGAAACAGGTGGAGGAAAAAGGGGTCATCTGTGATATCAAGGGAATTTCAAGCAACACTAAACTAAAGTATTTAAGAAACACACAATGCCGGTCACGTTGCACAGTGGCTTACAAAAAATGCTCATCGGAGTATTGCAAAATAATGCTGGTGCTGGGGAACAAGGAAACCATTCTTGTTGGTACATTATAATTCCGAGAAATGTCTTTATGGAGACAAAACCCACAGCACCAAGTAATGGGAAGACAGTACAGAAGTGAAACAAACAGACGGTACAGTCCACTCCCCTGCAGCTTACTATGAGCTGTGTGGCTTCGGGGACGTGGCCTAACCTCACTGAGTCTCCATTTCCTCATCCATAAAATGAGACTTGTGCTTTTTAGGGAAGATAATGATTATAAAGTGACTGGAATAGTGATTGACACAGAAGAGAAGTCATTATAATAAGGAATATTGGAATCCTGCACAAGGCCTACATTTTCGTTTGTGGAAGTGGAAAGATCAGGGTATACTGTGGAATGAAGAAAAGCAAGGTGTAGAACAGCATAGGAAGTGTGACATCATTTGCATCAAATCTGGTCTGCCAGATGTTTCCATGGGTTATCTTTTTTTTTTTTAAAGAATTATTTATGCATACAAAAGCTGGGGTATAGGCCAGAGGTGGGGGGTGGGGGTGGTGAGAGGATTCACCAGAGTTAAAAGGGATATAGTGGGGAGAAGAACAGGCCAACTGACTGAAATACACTGCTGAGGGGAGAAGTGGGTGAGGCAGGAGAGGTCTGCTGCGCCATGCAGGTGGATCCCTGGCAGGGGAGAACTGCTGCTGCAGTGGCTGCAGATTGCTTCATAGTGCTGAGCTTAACACCTTGCGCCACCCGGGAGGGCCCATGTGTTATCTACTTGCTAGAGATTGTTCTGAGTACTTTACAAATATGAACTCATGTAACCCTCATAAAAGCATTGTGAGATAAGTACCATCATTCTCTCCAGACTGGTAGTGGCAGGGCATTATGCCAAGTGCCTTATAAGACACACAGAGGGGAGGCACAGAGAGAGGGAAGCAGGCCATGTGAAAGCAGAGGCAGATGTTCTGTTCCCCAATCTGGCTCTGGTGAATTCTCTCACCCTCCCGCACTTCTGACTGTACCCAGTGCTTGTATAATAAATAAATAAATATATATATATATATTTTTAAATCCTTAATTAAAAAAAAAAGGAAAGTAGAAGCAGAGATTGGCGCTGGGCAGCCACAAACCAAGATACCTGGAACCACCAGAATCTGGCTGTCCTACCAACACCTTGATTCTGGATTTCTGGCCTCCAGAACCATGAGGGGATATGCTTCTATTGTTCAAATTCATCTGTTTTGTGGTAATTCATTATGGCAATCACAGGAAGCTAAAAGGAGAAGCTACATTTATCCACTGATATTTGCACAAAAAAATCTTTTTTCCTGTTTTATTTTAGTAGAAGAGCCAAGAGATAGGTTTTTACTCACCATTTTATGGTCTTTTGACCTGTTGAATTATTTTACTATATACATGTATTACTATGTTTTTTTTATAATATAGTATGATAGTGGAATAAATAAAAGTACATAGCCTAAGGCCAGCAGATATACTGACAAAGTTGGAACATTATTTTGATGATTTTTACCTTTTTAAAAAACTGCCTTTCTTCCATCGAAAATCAACAGTCATGTCTACCAACAGCTTTCAAACAAGTAATATTAAAATACAATTATGAATACACTACATAAACCACAAGAAATAAAATTGATACCTTAGTATTAAACTTTGACATTAAAACCATAACCTTATTCCAAATTAGAAACAAAAGACTACTTAATCTGGGAGAAAATGTCTGCAACACATTTGCTACAAAAGTATTAAAATCCAAAATATATAAAGAATTCCTTCAAATCAATAAGAAGATTACTAACAAGCCCAATGGGGGGAGCAGATTAGCAAAGGATATAAACAGATGGATAATAAGAAAGGAAATAAAAATAGCTCAAACATAAAAGTAATGTGTTCTCATTGAAATGTGGGAAAATACAAATTAAGCAAGCAGTATATCCCCAAGATTGACAAAAATTAAAGCATCAAATAATATTAAATGTTGGTCAGAATGTGAGGAATCAAGAGCTCTCTTATATGTCCAGAGATTCTGGGTTAAATAGTCTGGGATGGCGCTTATTTTAAAAGCTCTTGAGATTCCATTCCAACTCCATAAAGGGTAGAGGACCAGGACACTCTGTACCCTAAATTCTATCTTTAACACATCGCCCTCTTGTGGTCCTATTTTTTCAACTACATCCCTCACACTTAGCTACCTGGGGTCATACTGTAGGTGTCCTTGACTCTCACTGCCACATCCAGATCGCAGTTTCTTCCGCCAACACTTGAAAACAATCCTCCTAGTTGCCATCATCCACAGAGCTCCGTCACTCCCTCTTTCATTGAGTATTTTAGCACCACTCACTGTTGAAGCCCAACACCTCCCCATCATAATTCTAACTATGTAGAGATTCTCCCATTCTTCTTGCTTCTTAGTTCTTCAATATTCTCTTCATAATATCAATTGCCAGCACCCACTTTCCAGCTACCACCTCTAACTCTTCCCCTCCAGTGCCAACTATCTCTCACAGTCACTGCAGTGGAGCAATGAGCTGGCCAGTCATGACCCATCCTTCTAATCATCACTTTGCATTCACCCTCAGCCACTTGATTCCTCTCTCTCTTCACCCTAAGGTAAGTCCAACTCCCCACTGGCTGATACTGAGCCTGGATGGAGTTGGAGAAAATACGCACCCAAACTGACTTTCTCACTGAAATTCATGACTACATCCCAGCCCTAACACAGAGTGCAAGATCACCTCTCCTTACTTAACCCATTTCTCTCCCACTGTCCTATCTTACACCTCCTCCTCTATCACACTTCCAATGCCTTCTCTTTCCTCCTCTTTATAAGAAAACTCCTCGAAAGAGTTGCTTGATTCCTTGGCTTCCATGATTCTCCTCCCAGGCTCTCAAACCCACTCCTATCAGGTTTCACCACACACCATTTCATAAAAATAACTCTCATCAAGGTCACCAATGACCAATGACTTTGCCAAATCCAGTGGTCAGTTCTCAACATACAGTTTAGTTCAAGCTAAGGATTATTATAGTATTCTCTATCTTTTTTCCACAGATTTGCCATATTCTCTACTTTTCTGTTTCTAAATACTTCAGAATTTTTTAATGAACAAAATGTTTTACGTGGCTAAAAATTAAAACTTTTGGAAAAAAACTGTATGAATTTGGAAGCACCTGGATTTGAGTTAAAAGGCATAAAATTTTCAGTCACCAATAAAACTTTGTTGCTAGAATTGTTCGGTTAGTAGTCTTTGATTGGAAGGGTGTGGTTTGGGTCAAAGGCAATACAGAAGCTTGCCCTATAACAGGGTAAGTCTGTTTGGGCTGTTGCCACTTAGCACAGCAGGGAGGGCAGGTGTAGCATAAGGTGCTTGCTTTCCCTGGACAGGTGAGGAAGCCGCAGTAATGTGTTTGGTCTATGGTAGACCAAAACTCACCTGTTACACCTAGAATACAAGTGTTAACACGATTGCAGCAAGCAGGGGGAATACGGTTTTTGAAAGTGATTTTGAAAGACAGTCTTTTAATTTGTGTTTTCCCTATCTGTTATATAAAGCTCCACATATGTATATACTTACAAGAATTTAGTTTGTTTTTTTCTAAGATTTATTATTATTATTTATTTATATAAGCACTGTGTACAGTCAGAAGCGCAGGAAGGTGAGAGAATTCACCAGAGCCAGAGCGGGGAGCAGAACAGGCAGAAGGACCGAAGTACACTGCTGAGGGGAGCAGCGGGCGGCAGGAGAGGTCTGCACGCCATGTGGGACCCTCGCAGGCAGCTGGGGATCGAACCTGTGCTGCAGAGGCTGCGGGCAGCTTCGCAGCCCAGTGCTCAACCGCTGCGCCACCAGGGGAGGCCCAGAAATTAGTTTTAAAACATGCGCTTTTATGAGCTTCCTTCTTAATATTTCACTGACCCCTGTCGTCGTTCCATGTCAACAAATTGGACGTACCATTGCAATTTTTAAAAAAGATCTGTTTTATTTATGCATACAAAAGCTGGGGTACAGGCCAGAAGTAAGGGGTGGGGGTGAGAGGATTCACCAGAGACAGAGCAGGGAACAGAACAGGCAGACTGACTGAAATACACTACTGAGGGGAGCAGCGGGCCAGACACGAGCGGTCTGCTGCGCCATGTGGGTAGCTCCCTGGCTGGCTGGGGGATCGAACTCGTGCTGCAGAGGCCCTACAAATTGCAATTTTTAATGACGACTGTTTGACGTTTACTATAATTTACTTCAAATCATCACCGTGAGGCATTGAGATTCCGGGTTTTCCCTGGCACAAGCAACTACACTGAGCATCCTGGCAAATGCCTATTTGCGCATTTGACCGGTTCCTTAGAACAGATTCGCTGATGTGGAATTCCTGAGCTAAAGCTACAGGGATTGAATTTTGATTCACATTTCCCAACTGGCCTTCTAAAAATTACTTTTGTTTGTCTGGTTGGTTGCTTTTAAAGCAGATTAAACTCCCCCTACACGAGACGGGGAAGCTGGCCCACGCCGACTCTGGAATCCGGAGCTTGCAACTCTTGCTGAACTTGAGCGACCCCTTCCCGGTGCAGCTGTCTGTGGGGTTTGCCAGGCGCTTGAAAGGAAGACCAGGGATCCGGAGGAGCTGCGAGCCCCGCAACCAGTGGGTGCGGTGGGCGCCCCTCCGGCCCTCCGGGTGGGCACAGAGCCAAAAAGCAAAGTTTCCTAGAGGGTCGAAGCGCAGCTCCGGACCTTCCCAGTTGCAAGGCGGGGGTGTCAGGCGCCTCCACCGCGCCCCGGGCCGGGCGGGGCGGGGCGCACGGGGGGGGGGCCCTCTGGGGCCGGCCTGGGGCGGGGCGCTCGGCCGGGCCGCCCGGAGCCCCCTCCGGGCCCGCCCCGGCCGCGTCCCCGCCAGCCCTGCCGACGTGGCGGGGCGGGACCCGCCCGGCGCTCCCGCGCGCGCTCGACCGCCCGAGCGGTAAGAACCCCGGGCGCCGGGTCCCCATCCCCTTCCCCGGGCGGGCGGGGGGTGCGGGCGCGGCCGCCGCGGGGTGGTGGGAAGCCCCTGCCGTCGCGCCCTCTCCTGGCCCCCGACTCCCGCCCGCCGCGTCGGGGAGAAGCCGTCGGCGGGGACCCGGCGCCGGGCGCCGGACCCGAGCTCCCGGCTGGGGGGGTGAGGCCCCGGGAGGACGCGCCGCGCGGCCGAGGGCCCTGCGTGGGTGCGGGCGTGTGAGTGTGTGTGTGTGAGTGTGTGTCGCTCCGGGTCCACGCTCATGCACACACCCACACGCCCGCGCTCGGGGTCTGCCCCCTCGGCCGCGGGAGCCCAGGAGCCTGCCCGGCACCCAGAGCGGCACAAAGCAAGTCTGCAGAAGTTTCCCTGGGTCCTGGGTCCGAGCGAGAAGCGAGCTGCAGGGGCCCCGCAGTGGGGCACGCGGGGGGGTGCGTGTCCCCGCTAGGCAGAGGCCTCCGGGGGTGCGCCTGCTCCTGCCCTCGGAAAACCGAGTTCAGGCCTTGACCTTCCGCCGAGCGCCTCGTCTCCCCTGCAGACCCTCACCCTGCCGGTCTCTCGTACCCCGGCCCACACCCTGAACTGGCACCACCTCGACTCCCAGCCCCAGCCCCGGGGTGGAGTCCTGCTCGTGTCCTCAGCTCCTACTCCCCTCCCCACCCACCCACCCAAACGTCCGGTCTTCTCCCCCGGAGTCTGGTGAGTACTTCCAGCCATGTCAGAACCGGCGCCTGCTCGTCACTGCATTCTCTAGGAGTAGAAAGTCACCTCTGCCCAGGTGGGGAGGGCAGTATCTGTGCCCGGTTGATGCCATCAGTGCCCGTCCTAAGCATAAGGAGAGTCCAAGCAGGTGGCTTCTAAAATCACTGTCTCTTGAATTCCAGAAGCTCTCGGCCCTCCTGAGGACACGCAGAGTGAGACAGGCTTTCTCCTTGAGGCTGTCTTTCAGCGTCCCTTGCTTGCCTCCTAGCAGCCTCTTTCCTGCCTGGCCAAATGCATTCCACGCTCTCCTTTTTCCATCAAATCCTGAGCTCAGGAATCTGATAAACTCACATTGTAAGCGCCAAGCGAAGGCATGGAACTTTCAGGGTGGAATCCGAGGCACATGTGAGCCAGTGCAGAAAGAATTTGAGGTTAGGAGGGAGCCTTCCTGAACCCCAGGGACTCAGACCCTGAAAGCAGCAATTTATTTATAAGACTGGGCTCGAGTCAAACAATTTTTCTCTCGTATCAGTATCAAACAATATATTTTAGTTCAGTAAACAGTCAAGGGTCAGAAACCAAGCTATCATGATCCTGCAGAAGAGAATGACATAGAAATAAATGCTACAGAAGCTCATAAAACTGTTACAAAAACATAGAGGAGGGAGAAGTAACTTCTTTGAAGGAGTGAGCAAGTTAAGGGAAAGTTCTGAGTGAAAAAGAAGCATAAGGCATGAGAAAGAAATCTGGAGGCAGGCAGCCCAGAAGAGGAAGCAGCATAAGCAAAGGCAAGGAAGGAGCTGGGGAGGTTTGCCAGGCGGGAAGCCTGGAGAGGCAGGAGTGGAGTGCCAGTGTGCTCAGCTGTAGCGAGATTGAAGCCGGCACACCCGGGGCCACAGAGACTGTGCACAGGTGTTTATACTTAATGCCTTTTCAAACCCTGGAATTCTGACTGCAGACCTGATGGACCTGCGGGAAGTAGAGTGGCGGGGATCCAGTGGACTGGTGGAGGGTTATTGGTGCTTTGTGGGGTACACTGATGTGTTCACACATTTGAGGAGGTGTGAACCTGTACTCCTAAAATATATTCATGTTGTAAACCACTGTAACCTCAATTAAAACAACAACAAAACACCTAATAGCTTTTAAACAGGGAAGCAAATAGGTTCCGTGTATATTTCATGTGGAGGCTAGACTAGAACCTCGGGCCTGGCAGTGACATTGACAAGCTCCATAGGAATGCTTCCAACCTGCTCGAGAGTTTTTAATCCTCATCCTTCCAGAATTTTTGATCCTGGTCCTTCACTGACCACCATTTTTTTCTAATTAAGGAAAGTGATTTCACCCAGAGTGTGTGTTACCAAATTCTTATGCTGCCAAGTGAGGCCATTTTAAAAAAATCCACACCATTGTTTTATAAATGAGACATTTTAATACCAAGAAAAGCATGAAGGCTAAACTTACAAGATAAAGGTAGACCTTTACATTTAATAAATTTAGATTGATGAAAAACTTGCTATCTTGTCCTTATTTTACTCTGTCATCATGGACTGTTCCCAGGCATGCAGTCTGGGAACAAAGTATCCAGATCATTTTGTCCAGCCTTACTTTACTGTCCAAGGGACAGTGGTTCTAAAGCCCAGCTCTTCCCATCCGGTCACTAATCTTCTATGTGGCCTCTTGGCCCACCACACAGATGTCCATTCTAAGTACCTAGACTTCATTCCTGACGGTGAGGAATGATGATTTGCATGTGTTCCTGTGCCACCACGTCTGAATAATCATATCAAAGCCAATTTCCAGGCTCTGCCCTGCCTTACCCGAGACCAGCCTAGTTCAGGCACATCTTTCCCTTCCTTGATGTGCCATTTTGCATCATCGTTTAACTATTTCAGTTTAGCTGAAATCATTTCCTGGACCTTTACCAACCAATATGAAAAGAGATTATTCTTTTTCTGAAGACAGTAAACATGTCTTCCATTGTAGACTTATTTTTGGAGGCATGCTGTTGCTGCTCCAATACCTAGCATAGTTCTGGGAGCATTTTAGGTGATGAATGAATTTACTCATGAAAAACTAACTTATTCCCAGCCTACAAAGGCTTCTTTATATGCCACCCTTCCCTTCCTTGTAATTTACTGAAGAAGCCTTCCTGTTTCTGTGGGTTGAGTCTCTCTTGCCTCAAAGTCACAGGACATGGCTGAAGGGATCCATGTTCTAAATCATAAATCAGGCAGGGGAGGTTTCCAGTCTAACACCCATTAGCGCACCCAGGTAGAACTGGGGCCTTTCCCAGCAGACTCAGTGCATGTCACAGCTGAGTCCTGGTAGACTTGAGCATCACTGCTCAGAAACAGCTTTGCACTTAGCACAGTTTCTAATGATTTCAGATAAAAGGGCATAGTCAAAAAAGGATTAGAGTTCTCTTGTCATACTAACAACCAGAGTAGATAAAGGTCTGCCAGAGCAAACAAAAAAAGTTTGAGGCTGGAGGGAGTGGGTAGGGAGAATTTGCTTTAGGGAAAATGGAAATCTGGCACAGGTAAAAGTAAATAAAGATTAGAGATGTGTACAATGTAAAGTTAAAGTGGGCTGAATAGTATGACTTACACAGATGTCAAGATACAGTTTTTCTGAAATGTGTAAGTTGTCCATAAATATTGTTTAATAGTCTCAGTTCATTACCTTACAGCAGACTTTTTGGGTATTTCTGAAGTCACCATGAGTCCAGGTTCTCAGATGGAGTTCTGCCTTACACTGACATGTATATTAGCATAGGGCTTGGTTATAGCACAGCTTGTTCTTGAAAGCTTGTTGAAGACTTAGTTGACTGTCCTTTCAGACCTCTGGACCATTTTAGAGGCAGAACTCAGCTAGTTCCCTAATCAGATTTTGACATTCTCCCACAATCAACTAGAACAATGGGCAGTAAGCTGTTAGACTCAATGTAATCTTATGCCTGGTACTAGAAGGGCAGAAGACACCTACCTCTACATTATTTCCCCCCCAATCTGCCTATCTTAGGCGCCTTCCATTTCACCAGTGAAAAAGGATTTCTAATATCCTTTATGCTAATTAGCATTCCCTACAGTACCTATCAGAGAGGGTAATAGTTTATCAAGATGAAGACATTCAATTACAGATTTTGAAATGCTAACTAAAGACCCTGGGAAAGTATATTTCTGCTTAGGGTATTTCAGCTATTAACCAGCTGTCCTCCAGGGCATAAATCACAACTAACCCAAATATATGTCACATGGTATATGCTGAAATATTTTAGATTACGAACAGTATCACAACATATTTAGGCAAATCATATACAATGATGCTTTTTATTTGCCTGTGAATATTTTTCATAGTTAGGTTTATTGTCATGTTCCTCCCTATAAAAAGTGAAATCATTTGGAAATTTTTAATAGTTGAGGTTACTAAGGAATTTCAGAATACCTCACAAAGAAATGAAATGCCAGTATTTATGACTAGCTATTGAGGAAAAGTAGAAATGAAAGTGATCTCAAAGCATCATTTATTCATGGCCCCATTCCCTTTATGTTCCTAGAACCAAGGTGAAGGATAAATTAAGACAGAGAACTCTCCAGGCTATGGCAGTCAAGCAATGTCCTAGGCCATGGGTCAGCATGTATTTTTTTGTATGGGGCTAGACAGTCAGTATTTAGGGTTTTGCAACTTTGTGGGCCATATGGTCTTAGTCACAACTATAAGTTCCCTGTTGTTGTGCTAAAGAATCAGACAAATGAATGTGTCTCTTTCCTAATAAAATTGTAATTATCAAGACAGGTGGGGATCTGGCCAGCAGACTGTAGGCCAGTACTGACTTAAGAAGTCAGTTTTCACGAAGATTCTATAAGCACCCAAATGACAATAGCTTTTCAAGTTCCCTACCTCAATGCTACCCCCTCCCATGAACCACAGTAACAACTACCCCTTTTCTGAACAGTGTCCTGACCATCTCATTAACAGACCATCTCCAGTCTTGAAGATCCTAAAGTTAATATACCAGCTAAAAGGAAGTATGCGTTTTTTGCCTTTTCTACCTGTAGATTTCTTTTCAGCAATGTTATCACTAAATTCAAGTACTTTCATTTAGAAAGGTGCATTCAAGCTCATTTAACTGGGAGGTGAAAGGACAAAAGACGATATGAGTCATTTTGGAACCACTTGTTGTAAGATAGCTCCTGAACAGTGAATGAGGGAGGGGGGGAATAATTTTGCTTTCATTTGCTTTCATTTCAAATATTTTTTAATTTACAATCTCCATGCAAATAGTAATATAACTCAACACACATACTTGCTGAGCTTCCCATTATGTCCAAGAAACCATGTTAAATTTTATAAAATTTTATTAAATATGAGAATATAAAAACAAAGCAAGAAGACACTCGTCTTCATAGAATTTGTAGTATAATAGGAAAACAATCTAGGGACTCTAATCAAAGAGGATTGTAATGTTCCAGGTGAGACCGACAGAAAGCATTCTCAGTGTGTAGGAAAAGAAAATTACATGAAGTTGGGGGAAAAAAATGGAGAAAGTGGTTGTTTTTACTAGGACTTAAATGTGTAAAAAGTCAACATTGAACCAACAACCACCTGAGTATCTTTTGTGAATGCCAGACACTATAGTGATTCTCGAATAGTCTCATCTAAGGCTCTGGAAGGGCACAGGGGAGATCAGCTTGGTGAGGCCAGAGTGCCAAGGCCCCGGATGCCATTTGAAGTGCATGGCCTCATCTCAATAGTGATGAGGAATCCAGGATTCATAAGGAATCCTGATGATTTATTAACAGAGCAGTGAGTGACAAATAAGGAAGGATCGGGAAGTGAATGGGAAAATAACAGTAGAAAGATGACCCCAATATAAAAATCATTGATAGGAAACTTCCCAAGAGCCAGATCTGCAGTGGAGGCAGTGAGACTAGAAGTAAAATATGGACATAGATTCTAAGTAAAAGTGTCTTGGATTTGTGCACTGGTTGAATATAAAAGAACAGGTAGATGGCATTGTAGATAAGGTTCTCATGTGGTTAGATCTCAAAGTCAGATATGGGTTCAAATCTCAAATCTGCCACTTGTTAAAAGTGTAACTTCTGAGCCTCCTTTGCTTCATCTATAAAACTCATCATATCGAGTCACAGGAGATGGTACATTTATGTCCTGGATTTAATAGGACCCAAGGAATGATTCTTGAGAGAATGAAAGTTTAATCAATGGCAGTAGTGAGGTTTTATACCTGGGTTATAGGGGACATCTAGGTGCTATAAAAAGAAGCACAAAAGTCAAAAGGGAGATCCTGGACAAACAGTAAGCCAACATATTTCCTCTTGGATAGGAACTGTTCAACTGATCATTAGAAATACTTATCCAGAGGTAGAGGTTTTTTTCATTACAGTGTTAAGATAAAACACTATATATTACATAGATCCTTAGCATATTAGCATATAAGTCACATAACACAAAATTCTCAGACTACAAAATTCACTCTTTTAAAGTATGTCCTTCAGCAGTTATTAGTATAGTCATAGTTATATAACCATTACCATGAGCTAGTTTTAGAACTGTGGCATCCAAAAATGAAATCCATACCCATTACCATCACTCCTTATTTCCGTTCTCTTGGCCCCCAGAAACCACTAATTTATTTTATGTCTCTATGGCATGGGAAATAGATATTTGAGACTCACAACATAGAAGTGGTGTGTAAAACTATGAGAAAGGAATGTGATCCACCCTGGGAGAAACCATAGCAAGAGAAAGACCCAGGTAATCTCGGAGATTGGCCATTTGAGGACAGAAGGATTTGCATCTGTACTGAGAGTTTAGCCTTACCACTGGGTCACCAGCATGTCCAATGGCTTCTCATTGTCATTTTAGCAGCTACTCTACCTCTGGATAAGTATTTCCAATGATCAGTTGAACATTTCCTCTCCAGAAGGAAATATGTTGGCTTACTGTTTCATATAGGATCTTGCATTCGGTTCAAGTGAAGGTGTTGGCAAGGCTGATTCCTTCTGGAGTCTCTGCAAGGAAAAAAGTTTTTTTGACTTTTTCAGAGTCTAGCGACCACCTATATTCCTTGGCTTGCAGCTCCTTCCTGCATCTTCAAAGTACATCACTTCAGTCTCTGTTTCTTTTACCACACTTTTTCCTCTTTGTAGTCAAATCTCCCGGTGCCTCTGTCTCAGAAGACACTTGTTATTTCATTTAGGCCTGCCAAGATGATCTCCCTATTTCAAGATCCTAATCACACCAGCAAAGTCCCTTTTGTCACTTAAGGTAACAGTCACACGTTCCAGGGATCCAGACATGGATATCTTTGGAAGCTTCTCTTCAGCCTACCCCAAGGTCACATAAAGTTTTTTTTTTTTTTTATAGAGGCATGTTTTATTTATTTATTTGTTTGTTTGTTTGTTTATACATGCACTGGGTACAGTCAGGAGCGCGGGAGGGTGAGAGAATTCACCAGAACCAGAGCAGGGAGCAGAGCAGGCAGAAGGACCAAAGTACACTGCTGAGGGGAGCAGCGGGTGGCAGGAGAGGTCTGCGTGCCATGTGGGACCCTCCTCTGGTGGCCGGGGAGCAGCCGGGGATCGAACCAGCACTGCAGAGGCCACGGGCAGCTTCGCAACCCAGCGCTCAACCGCTGCACCACCGGGGAGACCCAAGATCACATAAAGTTTTATTGATGGAGAAAGTGTACCCCTATCAGATTTAATTGAATTATTCCAGACTTTGAATTAAGCTTAACAATTCAGATTAAACTGTAAAGCATTTTTTGTAATTGTATTGGCAGATATTAAAATGTCTGAAGATGCTGGTGACACCTTCGCCACTGGAGACAAAGCAGAAATTACCCAAATGCCCAATACCGATTCTTTGCCTGAAGATGCAGGGGTCCACTGTGATTCAGCTATGGTTTCTGAGGAACCAATTCCAGCTGACCCTGGAGGAGATGTACGTGAAAATGCAGTTGAGGCTGCAGAGACTACTGACACTGAGCAGCCCATAGACACCAGTGCTGTGGAGCACCCCCACAATGGAGAAGTGACAGAAGTGCTTGCTGAGTGCATTGATTCCGTCAGTCTAGAGGTAGAACTTGGATCTGAAATACCCCTGAAAGAACAGAATGAGCTGGTAAGAATGTTTCATACGACTCAGTTGAACCTAAGTTCCTGCTGATATCTCCCATCAGCACAGCTTTGTGACAAGTTCTTCAGATGGTGATTGGGAGTTTAGAATATATATACTATATGTATATAACACCATCTCCATAACATCACCACTGTCATCAGAAATGTGTTGTGTGATGAAAAAGACATATCTGAGAATAATTGGTGATTATAGTCATTATAGCAGTTTGATAATTGTATTAATAATAACAGTCACAAATTATTGGACATGTTCTGTGTTCTAGGCACTGTGCATGATTCCTGGCTGTTATGTAAAAGCTCTTAGAGATTCTAAGCTGGATGTTATTAACCTCAATTTATAGACACAGCAACCGGGCTTGGAGATATTAAACAGCCCAGTAGGATGTTAAGCAAACAGAAGATATTATAATATTAAATATAATGAGTTCAATTATTAGTAAGCCTGTTCCACCCTAAATAATCAGTCTTTCTTTAATACCACTTCGATTTTAATGAATTTTTGCAAATCCACTATGGAGATGGTAAACATTCTGATCACTGCTTTATCATCACATACCACCTTCCAGGGACCAGAGGCAGTGCTCATGGTTGCCTTCTCCCTTCAGTGTTTACACCTGTCTCCCTGGGGGGTAAGATAGACCGGTGTCTCCCAGCTGGTGCCTTGTGCCACATCAATACACTGTCCTTCCTGGGTTTTCCTGACATCCTCACCTCCACCTGTGTGGGGACTGGCAGGAGTAGGGAGGTACTCAGTATGAAAGGAGATGACTGCTCTGCTCCAGGCCTGCCTTCTTGAATGATGGTACAGAATGATGGAATCAGGGTCTCTTCTTTTGGCCAGCTCCAGCCCTATTGAACCTGAAGGGTAAACCGTAGATCACCTCCTTGAAAGAGCTCTGCTATATGCAGTAAGGGAAGGGAACCAAACGGGGAACCAAGGCCTGGACTTTCATTGGCCAGTCTATCATTAACTCCACGAGGTTAGACAAGATACAGCATCCCTCTATGCCTCTGTTTTTTCCTCATTTTCCTTTATTTTGCACGTGAAGACCACCAGTATGTTCTAAAGTTATGTGATTCTTTATTCAAAAGCTAGATTCCGTGCCTCAGTTTCCTCCAGAGGTTTGACGAAACTGTTGTAAGATGAAAGGGGCTTTCTCTGGGAGGAGAGTGTTTCCCATCACTGGAGATGTTTAAATAAAAGTCAACAGTCATTTGGGAAGAATGTCATGGAGGGGTTTGAGGACCAGCTGGGAATTAGGATCAGATATGGTAAACATGTACCCCAAAGTTTGTATATGAGTTCCAACAGCTCAAAGAGCCTTTCATGGGCCCCTAAAGGGAGCAAAAACCAGCTAGAAGGTTCTTAACTCTAGCTAAATATATCAACACCTGGAAGAACATTAAAAAAAAAAAAAATTTGATGCAAGGTTCTATAGTAGTCTGAGTCTCCAGAGAAACAAAACCAATAGATGATGATGGATGGATGGATGGATGGATGGATGGATATATGTGTATACATACATTTATTATAAGGAATTGGCTCACACAATTATGGAGATCGAGAAGTCCCAAGCTGGAGACCCCAGAGAGCCCCATTATCATTCCAGTCCAAGCTCAAAGGCTTAAGAACCACAAGAGCTAAGGGTTTAAGTTCCAATTTGGATTCCAGTCCAAAGGCAGGAGAAACCAATGTCCCAGAGCAAAGACAGCGAGACAGAGAGGAATTCTTTCTTATTAGAGGGCAGATTAGCCTTTTTGTTCAAGTCAAGCCTTCAGCTGATTGGCTGAGGCCCACCCACACTGGAGTGTGAACCTTATACTCAACTCACAAACTTGAATTTGAATAAAGAATCATCAGGTTTCCTTTTATGATTTTTTCAATAAGTGATCTTTCATTATCTTTCTGGCTCTAAAATTTTATGATACTAAAATAATGCATTGAAAGCTTTTCAAAAAGCTTTTCAAAAACCAAACCCTGTTTGATTCTCTTCCCTTACTGCATGCAGCAGAGCTCCTTCAAGGAGGTGATCTACAGTTTACTCTTCAGGATCAATAGGGCTGGCCGAAGATGATTCCATCATCCTGTACCATCACTCAAGAAGGCAGGCCTGGAGCAGAGCAGTCACCTCCTTTCATCCTTTCATTTTTTTGGCCAATAAGATACCTTTTCATGCATAAATCTTTTTAAAAAAAATAGCCACAGAACACACAGAAAATAAATATGAGCCATTTGTAAGCTTTGGGTTTGCAATTTGGTGCTGTTGGTAAAGAGATGGACCTAGAGATTATGTCACACAGTCCATCCAAATAGGGAAATGGCAGAGTGAGCATTTGAGTCATAACTTTCTCATGCCAGAGGCTCAATGCTGTCTTTCTATTTTGGGAAACGTTAGTTTTCAATTTTTATTTTAAATGCTACTCTTCACAATTTTTTATATATTAAGAAAAATACATCTGAGGGGCCTCCCTGGCGGTACAGAGGGTAAAGCCTCAGTGCTATCAAACTATCACCAGCCACTGCGGCATGAGTTTGATCCCCAGCCAGGGAGCTAACCCACATGGCGCAGCAGACCTCTCCTGTCTCGCCCACTGCTCCTCTCAGCAGTGTATTTCAGTAGATCTGCCAATTCTGTTCTCCACTCTATCTCAGATGAATTCTCTCACATAATCCCCACCTCGGGCTTACACCCAGTTCTTGTATGCATAAATAAATAAAATCATTTTTAAAAAAAAGTGTATGTTCCCCCGATGGAGTACATATGGACATATACAATCCAATTTCAGGTTTCTAATAATTCTAACAAGATTGTTCATGAAGGTTCCACAATCAAATGTCAGCATTCCCGTACATATCTGCCTTCTTAAAATGTTTGAGCAAATTGAATGAATCTGCTTTTGAAAGCACTTTATAAACCTCCTGAATGCTACAGGGATAAAGACGACTGACATAACACTGATAGCATCTCAAGGACTGTGAAAAGGTGAGCATTTCCTCATCAGGAAGCATCACATAAGTGTCTGGGTGGGAGTGCAAATCCTGGACACAGAATTGAGCCTGTGGCTCTGGGTCTATGTGTGTGGTCCTGCATCAGGAGCCCAGACAGAACCAGGTGTGAGAGCAGCCCATGAGCAGTTTCCACAAAGGACAGAAAGCAGATACTGCTGACTGGAAGGACCTAGAGCAGGGAGCTTGTCTTTCACCCAGGTTAAATTCAAACTCTTCTACATAGATTCAAATTTAGTCTTTTCTAAAGGATTAGCAGAAAAGGGGATTCTACCAACTCTTGTGGCAATCTGTCCTTTTTATCTTAATAAGTATTAGCAGTAGTCAATGTTGTGCCTCACCCTCCAGCACTGTTCATTCATTTGCTCTGTTTTTTGCCCATTGTTGGCCTCTTACAAAAATTTTTTTTGCAGTGATGAAAACAATTTTTTTTTCTGTCGATCAATAAGAGAATGAATTTTAAAACATCTTGAATCAAAAGTTCGTTTACAAGTTGGCTATTTGGCTCTTAAATAAAGGTCCCTCAAAGAATGGCAAGTTCTATAGGAAAACAGGCAGACTCAAAAACCTGTTTGATTACAGATGTATCTAAGCCTAAATGAATCTCATCACCCCTTTTAAAAAGTTTCTATGGCAAAATGTCTGCTTTTGAAAAACTTAGTAGAGGAAGCTTTGAGCTATCTCTTCTCTCCATAATCTCACCGTCATATCCTATAAATGAAATCAAATATCAAATCACATTGTACTACACTGTTAAAAATAAGTATAATTAGTAAGAGAGTTAAACATAGTTCATGAGAACTATTTCTTATGGGAATTTACAAATGTCCCATTGCTCTGTCCTTTCAGTCACTTTGGTCACCACCCTGAGTGAAAGATTCACTCAAGACAAATGTGCAGAATTTTAGAGGTAAGATTTTTTTCCCCCCTTATATCTGGCAAGAAACCAGAATTCCCCAGAGTTCAGAACTGGATAGATAACCATTTAGCGCAGAGCAAAATTCTTCCTAATACCTTATTCATATGTAAAGGTAGGAAGATAGTCTGAAAAATAGTTCCCATCCAAAATCTTGAGTGCCTTTCTTTAATTTCACCATCTTTCACCCCCTTCAGATAGCCAGAATGCTAGATAACAGAACAATGTTTTTATCAGTTAAAACTCATTTCTGCAATTCAGTATGCTAATTAGAAAGTATCAGGTGTTAATACAGGTACAGATAATAGAAATGCTTGTTATAGCTGCCTCTGATTAGGATGCCAGCTAAGGACCATCCTGAACTGTGTATATTTTATAGCAATGTGGGAAACATTTGGATTGTAGCTTAATCTAAGGAGCCACATAATTTCGTAATAGGCATGCTAAAATAAAATCATAACTCACAGAAGAAAGGGGGAGGGAGTAAGAGTCAGATGATAGGGCATGCAAGTCATAAGAATATTTTAAGTGTGCAAAAGTGGTTCAGCTTCAGATGCTCTGACAGGTCAAGAAATAAAATGACTAATATGTATCCATGGCTTTTACAACAAGGAAGCCATTGTAACCTTGATGAGGAAGGTTTCATGAGGCGGTAGCCATGAGAGAGTTACTGTGGTCAGTGGAAAAGTGAAGGGATGCAGGGTGGATATGGAAGATCCTTTTCTGAGAGCTGAAGAAGAAGGAGAGGGACCAGAAACAGATGTTTGAAGGAAATGTTTGGTTATTGTGATTTTCATTTGTTGATTTTAAGATGAAGGATGAGCATGATTAAACGTGGACAGTACCCAATAGAAAGAGAAAAGTTGGAAAGCTAAGACAGAAGGAAGAGAAGACCAGGCTCCCAGACTCGGAGGCAGTCAGGTGGAGGTGGTCATTTAACTCAGTGGAAGACATTGCTTCCATAATGATAGAAGAGAGGAAATAATTATGTAGCTATGAATGGGGATGCAATAAATTAGTTTTGAGTTTAGATTAATGGTTTTTGATAGAGTTCGGTGTACATATGTTGTTTGCATAAAAAGGACTAGTTAAACTTTTCATTTGGTTTAAAGAATTGGTGTTCCAGTTATGAAGGTTACAAATTCAGAAATTCAGTTCCTCCAAGGCTTTACATTCATCTCACAAATCTTATTCTATTTAGAAGCCTAGCAAAATTGAGCAGTCACTTTCAGGGGCTTTTTACCAACTTAAACACATTCAAATGTTTTTGAACTGCATCTATAAATTTAATATATTCTATTTCCTTTTGAAGTATGTAATATATCTACTTAAACAAAGCCTTGCTAAATCTTTAAAAATTGTGTTACAAATCTATTTAAATAAGAATTGTAGTAAATCTATTAAATGTATAGAATGAATATAAAATCTTCTTACATGTTATAATAATATGCATAAATTTAGGAAGATTTCACTTAAAATCAGAAGTCTAATAATTTAATTATTCAACATTTGTCACTGTAGTCAAGTTCATTAAGCATTAGTAGTACAGAAAAGACCAAATAGTCACAAAAATATTAATAGCATAACTTTGATGCTCTAAGTTTTTTTTTTACTTTCTATTTTAAGTCTTCCCAAAGTTAAAATGATGCATATTCACAAAGGAACAAAATTACCTGGAAATAACAGGCATTTTCAAGCAAGTATTTTGATGTAGTTTCAGGTATCCAGAGCAATTTATATACCAACCCTTTCTTTGGAGCAGCTGTGTCATGAGTTACAAAACCTAAAAGAATTTGATCTTAAGGTCCCATTGCACACATTTCTACATGCAAATTGTACACAGTATTGATTCTTGATCTACTTAAGGAAATAAGACAACCAAGTTGACCTTTGATCTTATGACTGCTACATGTATTTTACAACTAAATGTTAAAGAACTTTGAATTAGATGGAATTCTAAGATTTGTATATTTTTTTCTAATGATGCCCTTGAACTAAAATAAGCCTAAAATAAGTAAATATGTGTTCTGTTTAATGATAAAGACCAGTAAATAGGATACTATATATAAAAATATCTTTTCTATTTAATGACCTTTGAACTGGATGGAAGGTTGCATTCATTCACATTCTTAGGACCACACAACAGTTATAGATATTTAAATGATGTCTTGTTGTTTAACATAAATCTTGAAGTTTGGCTATCCCTCGTGACCAATCTAAGTATGATTTATTGTTACAAAATGAGACCATTCTCCTGAGAGTTTATTGGAAGGGGCAGGTAGTTGAGAGGATTCTCATCCGATGACTTTTGTTTTCTCTATGAATTAAGATATGAAGCTATCTGTTGAAGTGGGGCTAACATGGGATGAGGGTGAGAAAAAACTTTAAAATGATCATATTTGATCATGGTAGATCTAAGTAGAACTATGTTGCCTACTTTACAGTCTCATAGTGTTTGACATTAAAGTCATGGAAAGTGGAAACAATACTCGTGGAGACATTTATAATTCATGTTGAACATATAGTTAGTATGGTTTTTATATTAAGTGTGCACATTTAACCATTGGAGTATTTGCCACTGATGACAAATATTCTTCGTAGCAGATCAAGAGGTTACAGCTCAATGTCAAAGGAGCTTTATTAATAAAGCAATTGCAGTAGTCATGATACTGCAAAAAGTTCTAGACTCATTTAACATTTATTTCCATTTGCTAGTCAATTACCAGCTGTCAGAGTATATTAAGTATTGTAAATTTGAGTCTGAAGCTGTCACTCCTAAGTGTATTAACTCTCCCTAATCACATAGGTAGTGATTTGTCCCATGAAAGAATGATATTAATCACAAACTTACATCTGTCTTCATGATGGTGTAATATTGCTCCTGGCTTCCATTGCCAAAGTGAAGTAAATCAATATAGACACCAAAAATGAAAGCAGACAGTCATGAATCATAAGTATTTCCATTCATGTTAACAATATTCTCACTGTTTCCAGAGAAAAAAGGAAATGTCAGCCAATTTTCGAAGCTTTTTGCTTTTTAGTGTTAAATATAGTTTATTATTACTAGTAGTAGTATTGCTAGTAAACATTTATGGAGGAATTACTATGCTCAAAATTTTATAAGAATTGTTTCTTTTAATCTTCACAATAACCCTGTGAGAGTATTGGCTCTTATATTACTATAACTTGAATTTTCTAATGAGTAAATGATAGCTTTAAAGACTTGAGTTAATTTGTTGCCCAAAATGGTAGAGCCTGGGGCCTCCCTGGTGCTGCAGGGGTTAAAATCTCAGGGCTATCAAGCTATAGGCAGCCACTGCCCCAGGAGTTCTATCAGGTGGAGTTTGATCCCTGGCCACCCGGCCAGGAGCTAACCCACCCTCTTGGCTCAGCAGACCTCTCCTGTCTCACCTCTGCTCCCCTCAGCAGTGTATTTCAGCAGATCTGCCTGTTCTGTTCCCATTCTGTCTCTGGTGAATCCTCTCACCCCTTGCACCTCTGGCCTACACCCCAGTTCTTGTATGCATAAATAAAATAAATCTTTAAAAAAATTAATGGTAGGGGCCTCCCTGGTGGCCCAGCGGTTGAGCGCTGGGTTGTGAAGCTGCCCGCAGCCTCTGCAGCGCTGGTTCGATCCCCGGCTGCTCCCCGGCCACCGGAGAAGGGTCCCACATGGCGCGCAGACCTCTCCTGCTGCCCGCTGCTCCCCTCAGCAGTGTACTTCGGTCCTTCTGCCTGCTCTGCTCCCCGCTCTGGCTCTGGTGAATTCTCTCACCCTCCCGCGCTTCTGACTGTACCCAGTGCTTGTATAAATAAATAAAAATAAATCTTTTAAAAAAATTATAAAAAAATAATTTTTAAAAAAATAAAAATAAAAAATTAATGGTAGAACCTGGAGTCAAACCCAAGCAATTTAATTCCCTTACCTTTTTTCTTGACCACTAGTCTACACTGGCACATGGTATATGATAGTTACTCAGTAAATCAGTCAGGAATGCATTTGGATGCAAGTAACTAAAATCTAACATTTAATAGGTTACAAAACAGCTATTCATTATTTCTAACTTAAGAAAGAATGGACACAGGTAGTTACTCACACTGGTTTAGTAGCTCAGAAGTACCAGAACCAAGACTCTGTGATTCCCTAGCTTTTCTCCCATGGAAGCAAAAATGGCTGCTTCTGTTTCACATGTCCACATTCAGGGCAGGAAAAAGGGTGGGGGGAAGAGTTGTAGACAGCCATAAATTGGAAACACCTATAAGATAGATGATAATCTATCATGAATGCAAAAAATTCCCCACTTATATCTCATTAGTCAAAACTATTCCACGTGGCCACCCTATCAAGGGAGGAAAGTTGGGAATGACTGATGGGCCAGCCTTGGGTCAAAAGCTACAGAAGCTACATATTCTGTAGAAATTTTTCACTTCCCTAACTCATCTCTCTTTTTGGGGGGCGGAGGCAGGGAATGAAAGAACTCAATTCCTAATCCTACAGCCGCTAATGTGTTCTTGCCTCATTTTCTTTTTTTTTTTTTTTAATTTTTTTAATTTTATTTTTTAAGATTTATTTATTTATTTATACAAGCACTGGTACAGTCAGAAGTGCAGGAGGGTGAGAGAATTAACCACAGCCAGAGCGGGAAACAGAACAGGCAGACTGACGAAACACACTGCTGAGGGGAGCAGCGGGCGGCAGGAGAGGTCTGCTGCGCCATGTGGGACCCTCACCCTGTGGCCGGGGATCGAACCGTCGCTGCAGAGGCTGCGGGCAGATTCGCAACCCAGCGCTCAACCGATGCGCCACCGGGAAGGCCTGTTGCCTCATTTTCTAATATATATTCCTGGGTAATAAGGGAAAAGTTGTGGTACCACACTTTGATCCAAGACACATTGTTTGCAAGACTATTTTTACAGATACTATTGCACACCTAAGAAAATGGATGGCTTTCAGCCTTTTATTCAACAACAAAAAACTTATCAAGCACTGACTATATGTCATATATAAGACCTTACCAAAGTCAAAGTCTCCTAAGTTCTGGATATACATCAGTGAACAAAATATTTGAAAGCGAGTGGGGGAGAGAAAGAGTATAACTCAGTACCACTCAATCACTGTGTGGGAAATTCAAGGAACCCAAAAATGATAAAAATGCAGCAGAGCCCTGAGGAGGAATAGGAACCAGAGGCTGATAAGCGATTAGGAATCCCAGCAGCCTCTCTGAGCATTTCGCCTTCATTCTGCAGTCTGCTTTCTCTTCGGTCTTAGTCTGCAAAGAGGATGTAAGATGGTTGCCCCATATTGCTTGAGTTTCATCTTTACCCAAGCAACCATGTCAAGTTGAGCCAGATTCTCTCATTGCCAATCCAAATACCTAGCAAGCCCAGGGACAGTGAGAAAGAGAAGAGAGGAGTCACTGTAAATGGAATGAATACCTCAAAAGCCTTCTTTTGCTGATACCCAGCTCCAGGCTTATCCATGCATTTCTAGACTCTGCCTAGTGTCCGTGCCAAAGTTCTTCCTACTACCCTAGAGATTTCCCAGTTAACTCTACTTTGAGGAGCACATTTGTTTATTTCTGTAAAAATTGCCAGAGTCAAGGTGGTTTTTTTTTAAATTTTTCAAGTCACTCTTGTGCCCTAGTACATAGTAAATCTCTCCTTGTCCCAGAGTCTTTCACCCTGTCTTCCAAATAATGGGAAATTGAGAAGTGAGATCCTACTCCCTTCTCATTTCATACCAAGCCCTCAAAACCAACACCACTACTAATGAATTTGGTTCCAAAGTACACATTGTAATATAGGTTGGTGTAATTTTTTTTTTATGGCCCTTATAAACTCTAAGCCAGTGAGATATGGTGGTTGGTGATTTTTCTTAAACCTTCTCTTTGTTTTAAACCAATGAGTGTTTTTCCATTCAAGGATAAACTGAATCGCTGACCTTTGGCTAATCTGTTTTTCTACAGGCTGAGGCTGTGGATTCCCCTCCACGTGGTGGGGGCTGGGCAGGCTGGGGCTCGTGGGGCAAATCACTGATCTCATCAGCATCTGCCACAGTAGGTAAGCATTATATGTTGCATTTGAATGGATGAAGTTCAGAAGCCTAATAGGATATGACATTTCAATCATACCATGGACTGACAGTTTAACACTAGCCCATGGGATAATAAAAGCAAATTATTTTCTGTGATTACTATTCTAAGTGTTTCCTTCATGTATATTAACACGTTCATTCCTCAAAATAACCCGGTAAGGAGGTACTCTTATTTTTTCCATTTTAGAGATAAGGAAGCTGATTCACAGAGCCTAAGACCTTACCAAAGTCAGAAGTAGCTGCATTTGAACCAAGTAGTATGACTATTAACCACTATATTTGTAAGAGCAGGACTGGCCACAGGGCAGGTTTTCTGATCCCATGCAGACCGGGTAAAGGAGGAGTCAGAGTCCTCAGTGGTTTTGCAGGTTTTTTATTGGGGTTCACCAGGCATATGACAGGCAGGGGTGCTTCAGTCTTCACTCTATCTGAGCTCTCTGGAGTTCGTTCTGCTGCTTCTTGGCTTCTCTTTAGGCTTCGGCTTTGGCTTCTACTGCTGCTCTTGGCGTCCCCGTGACGCCGCCCTTAAAAAAAGCACAGTCTTAGCTCAGCTGAATCCCATCTACCTATGCCCACACCCTATTCCAGGTGCCCGCCATCAGGCATGCATTCAGGACAAGGATCCATCATCTATCCTGATGGTGGAAGGGCAGAAAAGCCTGACATTTTCTTTACCCTACAATATTACATTGCTTCTTAAAATATAAGATTTGGGCTTTTGCAGTATCTTCTTAAAGCGTTGTGCTTATCATCCAACTTGAATGTTTTAAAACGTATCTATCAAAGACACTTCAACAACAGGACATTGAAATAAAATAAAAAATATGCAGGCAGGAATGACATATATTATAAATGTAATATATTATATATTTTTATATATATATATATATATTCCAAGGCTAATAGAGTTACTGTAATAAGCATTGATCTTAACTCTGAACTTCTGGCTATCTGCAAATTACATATTTCTCATTGAATGACAAAACAAACTTTATTTTACCTAAGTTAATAAAATTTCTTGATATTAAAGTTTTGATGAAGCCACATGTATTGGTTTTCATACAAAGAGATAATATCATGGACAAAGTCCTCATTGGTGCAGGCTTGTCAAAACACCCTCATGTGATTATTTGTTATATCCACTCTCCCTGAAGACTGAAGGTACAACATCACCTAAGATAATTTCACCTTCAAGGTGCAGAGTGAGAAACAGGACAAGGGAAGCCACAGGTAACATAGTTTTCAGATCCTCTAACTCACGTGTTCTCAGAGGATAGCCCATGGCCATGAAGATCCTGTGACAGGCCATGTATTGATTCAATTCATTCTTATTCCTAAAACCAGGAGGATAAGAAGGCCTGGTGTTCTCTAGCCACTTCCGTGGACAGTGGTCACGAACAGTGATTGAAAGGCCAGATGTCTAATTTGATAGAATTTGCACTGCCTGGAGAACGGGTAGATTGCATTCCCCTAGTTCCATGTCTCAGATATGAAGAGCACTCTGGCAAGCAGTGAACAGTGGTCAAACAGTGCTGGCCTCTCTGCAAGATCCTTGGAGCAGGTCTTACTCTGTTGCTAAATGAAGGAGCTAGGGATGCCATGGATACTATACATGCAGATGGCAAACTTAACCAAATTAAAGGAGCCTCTTTTATTTTTCTGAACAGGACAGAGTCCCTTCCTGAAAATAACAAGTCCCTAAAGCCATTCTGCTTTTAAGGAAAACTGTTTGAACCTAGTGGCTCTCAAATGGAATTTGCCACGGGCAGTACTTAGGACTGGCATGCTTTCTGAGCCAAAAGCTAAAAATCTGAAATATTAAAGTTTTTGAAAGGAGTAAGACATGAAACAGTAAATAGTATGGTCACCAAATTATACAGCTCTCTACATGGTTTATGTCACAAAACAGGCAAGTGTTCGGATGCTTCTGGATGTTATCTCCAGAACTGTCCTGGCTTATAAATTCAGTGCTAAAGAAAGTTCTATCACAGACAGAGGATTTACGCTCATTGAAATTTTAAGTGTAAATTCCTTCTGTAGCAAATACAGAAATCAGTTGCCTTCAGGTAGCAGCTGCAGGTGGGTTTTGCTTGGTTGGTTGGTTGGTTTCTTTGACACACCTCCAGGTGCACCTGCCTGTCACTACTTCGCCCCTGGTTGGTCTCTGCTGTTTTTTCCCATTAGCCAGTGGCTACTCCTCATTATGTGACTTGTGCTTTGCCAGACGCTTACAAAGGTTTCCATTCCCCAGCAGACAGTTTGCTGTTGAATGTATCATCCAGTCTTTGGTATCCTGTTGAAATCTGACCTTTGCACATATGCAGCCTGGTGCAGCCTGGGCCCAGTGGACTCTGCTCCAAGGCCCCTGGGTTCAAGTCTAACCAGTAGATGCTGCTGCTTTTACTGATTAAAAGGCAGGATGTGATTTCTGTGCAGGGCACACCCACAGTGGCAGGCACTCTTCTTTCAACTTGATCTGAAATCAGTGTCTTAATCTCTAGCTTATGCTTGTGTTTCGTGTTGCTCTTGAAATTTCCCTGTTAGACACCACGAAGGTGATAAATTTGTAACTTATTAATGGCATAACCACTTAAAACTTGTGGTGGTGCTAGCTTCACTCTGTGTAGTAATTGATGCAGAAGAGGCCTGAGAGCTAACAAACAGTCCCTCAACCAACATGGCCATCGTGCTAGTCACTACTGGCCCTTTCTACGGTTGGTGGAAATAGGTTCTCTGGGACTGACATTTGAACGTTGCCCCATGAAATAGGAGGATGAAGCTCAATAGGCCCTCTTACATTAGTTTCTACTGCTGGGTAATAAATTACCACGCATTTAGAAGCTTAAAACAACATACATGGATTATCTCACAGTCCCTGTGGGTCAGGAGTTCAGGTACAGGAGAGCTGTGTCCTCTGCTCAGTATTGTATTAGGCTGAAATCAGAGTGTCTCACCTGATATTTTGAGTCATCTTTCAAAATTATTCGAGGTGTTGGCAGACTTTATTTCCTGTAGTTGCAGCCTGGATCTCTATTTTCTGCCTGGTTACTGGGAAGGGGTCACTCTCAACCCCTGGAGACTGTCCTCAGGGCGCTCGTCAAAGCCAGCGTGATCATCTCCCTTGCTTCAAATGTCTCCCTATAGGAAGGGTCCCGTCGATTTTTAGTCTCCTATCGCAGGCATATCCAGGATGATGTCTTTTGGTTAGCTCAAATTCAACTGATGAAGGACCTTAATTACATCTGAAAAATCCTTTCCCCTATTAATTTCCACATGTAATTATAAAATAAGTCATTCTGACTTAATGAAATAAAACCAACCCTGAAAACAAATAGGACTCATTTGCAATTACAACTAAATTAGATACTGAAAATGTGTGTGTTCTGATGTTCCAAAATGTCTGGTGAAATTACAAATAAAATATTTCAAATAACAAAAATGAAAAATCCCTTCATCTTTACCATTTAACAGAACCTACTCATGGGAGCAGGTCAACCTGCTCATCATTTTCACAATCCTGCCCATACTCAAAGGGGAGAGATTCATACAGGATTTATATATACCTCAGGAGGTGAGAATCTTGGGGGGCATCTCTCTACAACACTTTCCTTTCCTACTTAAAATCCTCATCAGTTACACCTCCACTTCCAGATACTTACTGATTTTTTATGACTCTAGCTACCTGCTAAAATTTTGAAAAGTGTTCAAACCTTGGCATTTGCTCTTACTTGCATCTACAGTGGCCTAAGGGCACTCGGAAGAGAGCAAAGAAATCTTGAAGCTCATTTTCAGAATCCTTTGACAAACTGAAACTATCTTTTAAAAAGTAGAGACTAATTTGTCACCGCCCCAATGAAGGTAGCAGTGATATAACTGAATACCATCCCTAGGTTTCTCCTCAGACATATTTTGGAGATTTCTGGTGAAAAATAGCTGTGACTTTGCATAGTAATAGTAGCTAAAATAATAGCAATAGATACTTTTAAACTAGGTAAGTTTCTCTGTAGACCTGATAAGGACTAAAACATGTAGCAACAGGGGAGGTTGAAGCCATGGTTTTCCAGGACTGGATATGGGGAGTGGTGGTGTGAAGCCTGACTTCCAGAAGGAAATGGGAATCACAAGTGTCCCACAGATAGAGAGGTGCCAAAGACAGACTCACAGTCTGAATCAGGGGGTTGGAATAGGATTCAACCTCCTATGAACACCGGTGCTGTGCCAGCCAGTGGGCTATATTGATCTGCTCTTATGTAGTTGAAAGAGGTAAGCTAGGCACACCTACTGTGTGTACAGGCATAATATGCACCCATGAATTTTCAGCAGCTGATGATCACAGGGCAGAGAAGTGTATGGTTAAGGCAAAAGTGACCATCCCAATGCTTATATGAAATCAAACATTTCCTGGCCAACAGTTATTTTTGGAGACCATAACTCTTACATTGGTTTTACCCATAGCTGCCCTATCATCACATGTAAGAAAACTTGATCCCCTGCCACCTTAGCCCTTTGGACAAGTTCATAAAATGTGATAAAAGTGCTCATTCTTTAAAATCTGGACATGGGCCTCCCCTTGTGGCACAGCAGTTGAGCGCTGGGCTGCAAAGCTACCCGCAGCCTCTGCAGCGCTGGTTCGATCCCCGGTGAGGGTCCCACATGGCGCGCACACCTTTCCTGCCGTGCCCACTGCTCCCCTCAGCAGTGTATTTTGTCAGTCTGCCTGTTCTGTTCCCCGCTCTGGCTCTGGTGAATTCTCTCACCCTCCCGCGCTTCTGACTGTACCCAGTGCTTGTATAAATAAATAAATAAATAAATCTTTAAAAAATAAAATAAAATCTGGGCAAAAACCAGAGTGAGCAAGAAAAATGTATTAAAAATGATTTTGCTGGTAATATCAAAGTGATATTATTAGAAGCAGATTCTACTTCCCGCATCTAAGAAACCTAACTTATTCCTAAAAGATATTGCT